GACATGCATCAAACCTAACATTAAAATGTCAACGAACATAACTCTCATATGGAGCTGCCTTTTTCCCACATACCCAGAGAAATCCCTGCCATGTGTTCACTCTCTGCATTCACATTTTAAGGTAATATTTAATCAGATGCTTATCCTGGAAAATGAAGATGCTCCCTGAAAGTAGGTCATGATTTTCATCAAAAGGATAAAACCCCCTGCTGGACTGTTTTACTGGGAATCTCAAAATAAGAACAGGTTAGAGACACTGTTCAGTAAAACAATGGGTTAGGAAGCAATATTTTTGATATGGCCTTAATCCTGCATAGAACCAAAGCCTCAGTGTAACAGTTGTTTGACCTGCTGGCAGTTTAATGAGAAATAAACTGCTTAACCTGCAGCAATGGTTTTCCTACAGACAACTACTCTGTATTCTTTATGCCAGGCCAGTTTTTAAAGAGAGTGCACTGCTCTATCACAGGAATAAATACCTCTTTCAAAGTCTAGTCTTCTATTGAATCATATAATAGAGAAGGAGTTACTGCATATTAAATCTACTACATTTTTGCCATCATTACGGTTAGTTTTGGAACGCTAAAATTAAAATTCTTATTTCTGGAACCAATTATTAGTTTAATATTCTCAGATGGTAGTAATTTATGTAATCCTAGATCCAAACATCTATTTCTAGTCTCATAAACAGAATACAAATGATGCTTTACACAAAATGGTACTGTAAAATTATATGTGTTAATTATGGCCAACGCATTCCCAAAGCTACTGTTTATAAATCAAGACATTACTGTCTTGTTCAGTCTTAATATCAATAATGCAATAAATAGTATAGTAAATAAAGCAAGTGTTTATCTTTGGGTTTCCTGGTGACAATAAAAACGTTCCTTTGATTTCAAAATAATTAAACTAAAGAGGTTATTGCAGCTGAACACTGAAATAGTTTCTCTCTTAACATGAGATTTAAAGGAGCCTTGCCAAAAAATATGCAAGAGGACAGATTAACCTAAACAAACACAGAAATAAATTTAGTAATCTAAAATGGAAGTCTCTAACATGAGATGCGTTACATAACAAAAAGCAAATAAGTGCAGCCTCAGATGAATGCAATTCTAGTGGAGTCCAGGAGATACATGCAAGTGAAGAGTTTCATCTTCCTTCACCTCCTGTGGTAATGTTAATTACAAACCTGTGGGCTCTGGAAAAAGACAGTTACAACAACAGAAACAATATAAAATTACCAGACCCATGCCACTACCCCAGTAATGCTCCTAAACGAAGTAGTGCATTCCCCTACTCCCTCTTGCAAACATGTTTCAGTAATGTGTGATTTGTGACACTACAGAGTAACATTCTTTGTTGTGACTGATTCCTATTAGCAATACTCTCTGTATAGTTGTCAAAACCACTAATAGTAAGTAATCAGCTAAACATGGAAGAAAAAGATAAGGCCATATTCAGGTTGCATAACATTAAAGAACTTCAGCAATACCTATTTGGTAAACAGGGAGCTGGTGTCACTGGAGACGGATGAGAAGGACCTGGGAAGGTGCTAGGCAATGGGATGCTGGGGTTAAGAAATGTGGAAAGGCAGCTGGAGGAGTGCTGGTGAATGGAGGCTGGCTCAGTGCTGTCCTGGCACTTTGTAAAAGTCTGTTGAGACCTGACCCCCACCAAATCAACAAGTAAAAATAGTGCATATTTGTCATGTAGATTATTCCCATTCTCAAGAGCTGTGTGCAGGATGCACTGTCAATCTAGTCTCACTGTATATTACCACACATATATTTTAAAACCTGTTGTTTTAATCAAACAAACACCACCACCCCACCACCCCCAACAAACTACCTGCCTGTATACGCGAATTAGTTTCCTGACAAATGGGATCACCTTGCTTAAAATACACCTACACTCCTTGGGGCTGAGCGCCTTCAAAATATTCTGATGCATATCATGTGTGGTAGAATATAGGTTTGCTAAGGACTGCAGAAAGGAGAGTTAGACATCAGTACAATTTCTTTTTAAACCATTCTTTCAATTTTAGGTTATTAACATCAGTATCCCTGCACTTCACATTGTATTTCAAGTTTGGACCCAAGTCCACACACACATACGTATGGGTCCACAGCTACCCAACATTCACTTTGCATGGAGGCCAATCCATACTTATAACTATAAAAATAATAGAATAATAGCACAAAATAGAAACAATCTCTGGGAAACAGTGCAAGAAGAAAAACTGGTAGGCTTTTACAACCTTAGTGAATGCCCAAACACACCGCTCCCTGCAGTTTTGACTGTGTAAACATATCCTCCAAAGCTGCCTCAGGTAACCCTTTGTCCCTGCCACTCTGTCAAGAGATCACTCTTAGCATCGTCCCTACATCACCTATGAAAGGGCAAGCTACTTTTGTAGTTAGCTGTAAGATTTGGGATAGCTGCAAGATGACGTGGAAGAATTGCACACCAATGAGCAGTAACAGCCTGAGTAGGGTTGGCTGGGTAACCATAGCCTCTGGAACGCAGGGGCAGCCGGTGAAGCAGGGCAGAATCATCAGAAGAGGAGAAACAGGAGGGACAGCACCTGAGCCACAGCCCAGAATGCAGACTGTGCCACTTCTCAGGGCTATAAACAGCCTTTCTCGTAAGGAGTAGATGGGACAACAGTGAACCCAAAATATTTTCTAAGGTTAGGTGACGATTACACTTACAGGCTAATTATTGGAGAAGATTCACAAAGATAAGAAAAGCCTGAATCCAGAAGTAAATCTGCTCTTCTCCCCAAAGACTCTTAATGCCTGTTTTCTCCCTTTAGTTTGTGCACATTTTGTAATGTGCTTAAGACTCTAGGACTGGAAACCAAAGTGCCATGTCCTGAACAAGCATCTACCCCAGCAGTTAAGCACAAAGAAGGGACATTCCTCTCCAAGGGAAAGGTGTGCCACATTCTCAGTTTACAAAAAACAGGGAACCAGTACTTCATAAGGGAAACCTGATCATTCACACAATATAAAAAGACAGAGAAGTCAAAGGTGTATAATCCCTGACTCAATGAACCTTCAGACCTGAGAGGTTTCAATAGAAACAGGTCAGGAAAAGAAGTTTTATAGAACTGTCATTTTCGAACTCTCTCTCGTATCTCTGGCACACAAAACCAAAGAGATTTGGGTATGATAAAATTTTCGGACTCTCTTCTCAATGACACAATTTAAATCAAACAAATAGGCCATTCACAGAAAGTATTTTTGGGTCAGCCTTTTTCAAGAAACCGCAGTAAATACGAAAGTGTGCAATGTGCAAATGCTATAAAATAATGTGCAGTGATACATTATTCTCTTTAGTGCACCTGTATTTAGAGAGCACCTTGCTTCAGCACACAAAAGCATCTTGTGCAGACAACCCCTACCGCTGCCAGGTTTTATGTGCGCTGCTGTCATTAGACTACCACAGAGCAAATCATTAATCTCTGGCCAGCAAGTTGGTCAGGAGTTTGTAGAGTATGCAGAAACTTGTGCAAGAGCAGAACTGTCTCGACATTAGGACATCAAAATACAGAACCCAAGTGCCTGCTGAAGTGCCAGGGCTGGTGGAAACTCGCCAAACAACAGCACTTAAACTCCAGTTCTTCCACAATGGAGATTCCTCTTCAGTCATACTGGACCTGTCGCACTAAGCAGCTACCAAAAGCATGTGGTAACAGTAAGAATGTGATTTTCTTATCCTCTGTGTTTAATTCTCCTCTACCTCTGTATCCACCAAAAATGATTCTAAAAACTAGGAATTTCTGTCCCTAGTCCTTCACTAAAGACATTACTCTACTGATTTTCACTCTTTTATTATGCAGATGTCTGTAGGAGTGTACTGGTCAGGAAAAAAAGTATTTTATATTACTAAGAACAGATACAAACTTTCAACAGAAAGTTGTACTCAAAGCATTTGTGCCAGAATGACTGAAAAAACTTGGTAGATAGCGGATAGACTCTTCTGAATAAACCAAAAAAGAGAAAGCAACAGCATAAATGAATAGGGATTAAAAAAATCTGATAGCTGTAATCATCTCAGGGATATCATAAATATGATTTGTGTCTGTGAATTTTAAATATCACTACATTGTATTTAATGGCAGACAAAAAAAAAAAGTTAATTCTAAGCATTACTCAGTACTGGCAATGGAACAGAGAAACAAGGCGATACTGCTATCAGCTACAACTGTTCAGTACCTCAAAAGCCTCTCCCACCAAACCTGTAGCTGTTAAGACACAGCAGAAAGGGAGGTGTATTGACATCCAGGTGATATGGAACTGAAAGAAACTCTTATCAGGGTGGAAATCTTGGGGGGGGAAGGAGGAGAAAAAGAAAACAAACCAAAAAAGCCACAATAAAATCCTAAATGGTCAAAGTCTGAACTGAAAAATCACCTCAGGTTTTTCACACAAAACTGCATTATGCAAACTTTCACACAGCCTTTGATAGTAACAACACAACTCATCCCAGCATAGTTGAAATTAATAGTTGTACTAAGTAATGTCACACAAACTAATTTGCCAGAGCAAATGCCAGCCAGTCACGATATGAAATTATTATCTCTAGTGGTCCGACTGAAGCAGACTCAATGAAGGATACAAATGCTGCATCTTCTGTCAGATGAGAAAATTCTTCACGGGGATATGCTGCAGTGGCCTACCTCTGCCTGTCCTACACTGAACAGACCAACAACAGTTCTATTTTTTCCATTACATTTGAAACCACAATATATATAAAAATAGTTTTATTTAACATTCAATCCAGCCTGTTACGAAGGCTAAAAAATCCCCCCTCGCTTATAACTTGCAAGCGCACAACCCAGTTTTTTCACAAATCTCAGCTGGTGAGCCTTTCTCTTCCTTTTCTTCTTAGAAGAAAGCAGCACGTTAGGTCTCTGGGTCTATAAAAGTATCTTTCATTCTCTAGCACTGACTTTGAGATGCAACCTTTCGACAAGATGGCACAGGAAAAACACATAATGGAAAACATTCTTTATTAAGAGATTTCAGAAGTCATTCTCTGAGTCATAATCCTCAGCTTTTTGCAGTGGCCGCTTAACACCAATTATTAAATCTATGGAGAGCAGCTCTGTAACACAATGAAGAACTGAGATGACTAAGTGGTATTTGCAATACACTGATTCTAAGCCTTTCCCATTCATAGGCAGTGGTTCATTTTTTCTGAGTGCATTTATGGCTCCAAAATAGAATTTGTTAAAGCTGTTTCCTTCTGTTGTCCCGTACAAGGACTTGGGAATACTTAGCAGAGCATCAGCAACTATATTAGACACAACAGCTACCTCTGACTGCTGAAACTGTTTTGCATAGTACTGAATATAATAATGTAACAGGACTTCAAAGTAACCTCCTACTGGCAAAACTGATCCTGCTTTTATGAGGGAGCCAGAATAATTCTGTGCAGTACTTACACAACTCTTTCCATGTTTTAATGTGACTACATTGCCACTGTTTTTCTCCAGGTCTTTGCCAACATCCAGGCTTTCACATGCAGTGTCTGCATTAGCATTACATGCTAATACAGCAGTGCTCTGGTGCTTTTGACTGTCCACAAGTGAACCATTTTTATAGTTCTCATGCATGGCACCCAAATGCTCACATTTTGCATGTGGTTTCTGTACACCTCGTGAAGAGCCATCTCCTTCACTGGCACCACGTAATTCCTCGATGTGCAAGATGGGATTTGAGGGCATTTGCAAGTCTGTTTGCACACATGCTGGATTATTACATACCTGCGAATCTGGGTCTACAGTCTGTGTCTCTGCTTCATCCCTATGTGCTTTTGATTGACATTCGGAAACCTGAGTACTGTTACAACAATTATTTTCTATTGCAAGTTGCATCTGAGTAGCTGAAAAATGCCAACTGCAAACACCTGAGGCTTCACTCTGACTTTCACCTTCTGCTTTGTATTCCTCCCTCTGTTCAACTTTTTTAAATAGCTGCTGCAGCATTATAAATGCCTCTTGAAAAGCTGCAGCGTGTTGCTCATTAACACTATCGACTGGCCCACAAAGAATGAGGCAATGGGGCTGAAAGGTGCACATACTGGTAAAGCCAATGTGAACGCATCTCTTTGAGCCGAGCAGCAAGGGCTGGCAAAATGTTGCCACTGCGGTTTCCGTGATTTCTCCGCACATGTTATCACCAAAAGGTGCACAAGGCGATACTCCTGTAATTTCACAAATAAGGGCCATTTCTTCCGATGATAAACACTCTACCACAGATATACCGTATAATTTCGCATAGTAAATAACTACTTCCTCCTGCTTCACACTCGACAGTAACAGCTTAATGTTGTTGCTCTTCAAGTGTTTCATTAAGGCTTCTGTCCTCCTTGCGATCCACTGAACGGAAGCGTGATACTGACCCTCGGAGTCGACAACAAACTCAGCCCCGGGGGCCGAGAGGGCGGGTCGGAGGGGCTCGGTGACGAGCAGGGCCCGCAGCTCCCCTCCTGCCGAGCAGTAAGTCGCGAAGTCCCTGCGGAGTACGAGCCCGGGCAGGACCCTAGAGCTCGACACGGGGAGGCCGGCCACGGTGGCGTGCAGCTCCGCGAACCGACGGCCGAGGAGGCGCAGCGCCTGCAGGCGGGTGGCGGCGGCCGGGGCGCAGCGGCAACAGTACTCGGAGCAAAGCCGCGCCAGGCGCCGCCGCTCGCCCGGCCCCAGCCGGCCGGCCAGGTAGGCCTCCAGCAGCGCCTCCAGGCCGGCCGGCTCAGCCTCCTCCTGCCGCCCTGCCAGCGCCGTCAGGAGGTGCCGCCGCACGCCCAGCGCCATGGCCCGCTCCAGCACCTGTCCCTCGAAGGCCTGCAGCGCCCGCCGCAGGCCGCCGCCCGCCGCACACAGGCCTCGCAGCACGCCGGCCAGCAATATAACGAACGTCTTAGCGCCGTCCCCCGTCGCGGCCCGGCAGCTGCAGGCACACGCCACCATCATCCTGGGGGTACAGCGGCTGTTAAGGGGACCGCACCCCCCGGCCCGCCCCAGCCCCGCCCCGCCCCGTACCTGGCCGTCGGCGGCTCCAGGCTGAGCGCCTCAAGGAGGCGCCGCCCGTCCCGTGTGAGCACCGCCTCCCCGGTGGCCCGCACCAGGAGCGCCCGCCCGCCCCGCGGCCCCAGGGCGCCGCGCACAGCGCCCGCCAGAGCCTCCGCTTCCTGCGCCAGCCACCGAGGCTCCAGCACCCGCGCCATGGCAACCGCCGCTCTGCGCCGCACCGCCCCTTCCGCCGCGCGTCACGCGCACCGCGGGATGGAACGCCGCGAAGGAGGTCGGGACCTGGGCCTGTGCCCTGCAGGGGTAGAGGGGTGCGGGCCTTGGCCCGAGAGGGAAGAGCGGCGCGGAGGTGCGACATGACTTTATTGAGTGTGGCGGCGGCCCGCCTTAACAGTTCAAACGCCTTCAACAAACCGCGAGATCCGGCGACGTACAGCGCGGTAACGGCGGCAGAATCACATGGAAAGGGTGGGCTCCGTGTCGCGGAGACTGACGTTCCCGCGTGGCGAAGGGAAAGGACAACAACCGCAGCGGGCATGTTAACAGTAAAAAGCCGAAATAATTTGTCCTTGAGGGGGGTGGTTGGTTATGGCTGTTTCTGTAATTCCGGCAACTTCACTGTATCAGACGCCCCTCAGCCTCCACTCCTGGCTCGCCAAAGAACAATTCAGTGTGTTTGAATAGTTGCCGTTCTCCTTCAGCCGCTGAGTAAGCGGGAAAGTCAGTTTTCCGACACAAAAGCCCTCACAGAACGCCGGATACTGTATATGGCACAAACTTGACATACCTTCTTTACATGTCTCAGAACAGCAAGAAACCCATCAAGAAGGCACTGTTTACAATACTGGAATACCTGCTAAGTTTTCTGTGATTTGAGGATTCCCTTGAAATAACAGTAATTGAAACTTCCAGATGAACAGAATACTTGTTATTTACACAAACAGTGGTAAAGTGATAGCATTTAAGAAACAATACAAAACATAGGATGCAAATTGTTTCATACACACCAGTCTAGTAAAACAAAACATAATTTGCCAAAGGCACAGGAGGGCAGCAAATAACAATGAAAAAAAGGAGGAAGAAATCACCATCATTACAGTTTAAGGGACAACCTTTCAAATGATTTAGGAGATTTAGCTGGGGGTGCCAGGTGGGGACACTACCAGGATATACCCCTCATTTATGTATTGTCAATTTAAAAGGAATCCACATGTGAAATGCAGAACATCATCTGCTGCTAAAACTGATCTTGGCTACATTTCACATGGCATACTTGCTTTTTCTTACCTCAGGTCATTTCTACCTAACTAAGCAATCTGTACCTAAATGGCAGATTAAAGGCTTAGAGTGCATTTGAAAAAACCCAACAAACAAACCAAACTCAACAAAAGCACATGGCAAGGTGTTCTGAAAGTATTTCCTGTACAAGGAAACCCCCAAACAAGTGTGGAAACGGGCCGGTTTAGACTTTAAAAACTAGGAGGAGGTCACAGCCCTCACACATCTGCAAACTGTACAACCCAATTTTGTAATTGTGTGCAGAGCTCAGTCTCAAGTACATAATAGTCAAGATCGGCCACACATTGTGGTTAACCAGGAGAATGGTGATGTGCTGAGGAAAAGGCTTCATACATGCCTGTGACAAAGCTGTATGGTAAAAATCAGGCAAGAGATTTCTTTGTTCTATTCACATGGGGAAACATCATACAAACCCCAGCAAAACGGGAATTCCTACGATTTTGATGTACTTTCCAGAATACTAGTTATCTAACATAGCCAAGCAGAGGCTGCAGTGTTACTTTTCCAGAAGTTTCATCATACATCCTTTGCCTTTGTGGATCATCACTAAAACAGCTTTTACAACAGAATAAAAAAATAAGCTGAAAATAAGCACAGGTGTTTTCTCTGACTCTGTTCAAGTCACTTAATCTTGAACTGAATATGAACTTCAGATACAGAGTATCTATTTAGTCTGACATTGTCCAGCACCATGCTGCCAGCCAGCTGGCTGAGGCAAATCCAGTTACTACCATGCAGTCTGTGTAAAAATACATGCAGACTGTGTTATTAACTGATCTTGAATAGAAGTGATTAAAAAAATTGACATGAAAGGGCAGAAGGATATTTCTATTTACAAGGGAGGTAAAAGCTTGTAACTATTAGCCAAGAGTTTCAGCACTGCAAATTTAGCAGTGTTATTTTAGGGGACTGAAGTTACTGCCCAGATTCTCATTTGTTTCTTCCTGTATTACTCTCATACAGAGTATGGTTAAAGGCTTGTTGCAATGGATCTTAAGACATGTAGAGCTTTGACATCTGAACGTGATAATGAATGGCCAAATTCCAGGCTGAGAACATCTATTCTGTAATATTCTGCTTGCTTTATGCCATTTTATACATGGCTAATGACTTCAGTTTCTGTTTAGAGACTTAACTTGGGGACTTTGTATATTCACAAATTTTACCTCATCAGCTGTAGATATAATGCAGATAGATAGAAGTCCAATTAAGTTTGGTCTTGCCCACCTATGCAAGATCACTCTCGTTAAGGTACCACATGCCAGAAAATTACTCAAGACCAAATTATGCTAATATGCAGCTGTAAGAAATAAGCTGAAGTTGACTGCTTAAGCACAAAACTTAGGTTTCTTGCTTAAACAAACGAAAGGTAAAAGAGAGGGGAGGTGTGTGAAGGTATCAGCCACAGCGATGTACGAGCTAGATGAATAAACAACTAAATAGTAGCTGTACTAAATACTAGTGAGACTGATGCAGACCAGAGAGTTAGGGAGGCTACCCAAGAGAATAGGGGTAACCAGGCCATAGCAAAAAGCCAAATGTGGCCCCTGAACTGTTCCACTGCCTGGGATGGATTTGATTTCTGAGCAGATCCTCTAAAAACAAACTTGGCTGCCCTTTGCATTATGCCACCTGTCCTCCTGTTGCCTCATCTGGGTTACTGAGAGTACCTCTACAATATTACAGCCCCTTTTTGACTTGGTATGCTTCACTGGCCTAAGGAATTCGCCAGATAAACACTGGCACTTAACCTTTTTGCTTGAATTATACAAGTTCTATACATGCATATATTTCTTCAAACAAAAATGTTAGAAACCCTGGTTTTAAATTGAAACTTGAGCTTCACATTAATAAGTATAGCTACAGCATAATGAATAGGTGCATCCGTGTGTTCTGCTAGGTAGTATGTACTGCAGTAAGGAGGCATTTAACAAAGACTTAGGGTTTCACTCTCATTTGCTTTGATATGTGTATAGTCAGCCATCCCACAACCTCTGAAGACTTTCCCTTGTAAACATGCACATTTTCACTTGCAAGGGAACTCATGATGGTGCCTGAATTCTGTTCTATGTCGTCTGCCTTTTGGGAGGTTCAAGTCAAGCTAGACACCAAGCACACCTCTGCATCTTCACATTTTGTTTCCAATAGAAGAAGAAAGTCCTGCAATCAGCAGTCTGTCTGCTTATTGTGAGAAGGCTGTACACAAACGTAAATTCAAAGCTGCAGATCTATCAAGACTTGCAAACATACCATAAAATCCTTGACATTTACAACATGTGAGAGAGTGGACTAAGACAGTTCCTTCCCAGGTGCTGCACTGTTAAAAAGGTGCTCTGTACAGTAGATACAGGAATGTCTTTATGAAGAATCAGAAATTCTAAAACTATAAAAATAAAACAGCTGGCTTACAAGCCACTGTAGTAAAAACTCATACTTCCAAAACAAATCAAGGACATTACACTGCAGAATTCCCAAAGACTTCAGCTTTCTGCTAGTTCCTGACGTTCGTTATCTTTGTATAATAATGTATTTGTTTGACCTTACACAAAAGTTTACTTCCAAACACTCAATGCCATTTACAAAAACTGTTGGCTACTTCAAAAGTTCCTTCTTTACAAAAATGGGAAGTTTAAATGTAACAAAGTATGCTTGTTTATCATTCTACCGTAACGGGAATTGCATCCTACCTACAGGGTCTGACCTCTGAATTCTCAACTTCATCTAGTCTGTGGTGAAGATTCATCAGTACACAGCGCATGACATAATAGAAAACACAAGGCTGATGTCGTATGTCTGTGAGACAGAGGCACACACCAGGAGCAAGAGTGTACTGGCACTTACACAATTCTTACTTCAACTGGGTAGATGGGATTATGATTCTGAACCATGGATGCTGAGGCAAAGTTCTGTAAGCTGTTGCTACAGGGCTCTTTTAGACAATATTGCATCATTTAAAGTCTGACTTAAAATATGGTCCCCAGTAACAGTTTGATCATTCCAGTTCAGAAAGGCCCTTGTTCACACTTCTTATTTGAACAAGAAATTAATGGCAAGCTGTAGCAGAACCACGACTGAAATGAAGACATAGTGCTTAAACTGCAAGAAATGGTAGTCCACAGGTGGTGCATTAGAAGTGACTCTGTTTCGCAGAGCCATAATGTCCCTGTAAAATAGAAAATAATATCCTGTAAATGACATTCTAGACAATTTGGCATTTTCTAGTGTGTTAGGGCTCCATACAGAAGATGTTTTTTGAGGAAAATTCTGAAACATCAATGAGCAACCAAAATTTGGGAAGGAAGATAGTTTAAAGACATCAAGGTTCTAACGCAGAAAGACACATCCCAGCCTCCAAGGAAGAAAAGCTAGAAAATTAGTATGTTCTAAGCCATTTTAAAGTGTTTAATTTAGTACTACCTTTTAATTTCTTCTTGTGTCTCCTTTATAGATTCAATGGCACTCTGCAGTTCACCAAGGTCTGCCCCTTTTTTCCTTATTCTTGTGTTATGCTTCAGAAGTTGTGCTAGAAATATACAAAAGCCAGATGTAATTCAGAGGTGTAAGTCAAAAAAGGAAGAAAGTACCAATGACAAACTAAACCAGTTGCAAAAATGAGAATAAACTTTTCTAACTAAGCTTTTATTGAAAACTAAAGCTTTATTTCAGTAACCTATAGCACATGACAGCAAGTTAAGCACTTGAAGTATCTTAAACCACTGTGTTTTGAGCACAATGCATTCCAACACTCATACAAATCTACCTTCTAGCAACACAATGATCTACAAATTAAAACAATTCATCTTGTTTTAAGAAAGAATAGAGCTTACAGACACATCTGCCCCCCAAACACACTTATGTGCAGCACTTAAGCCCACCTATGCTACGTACTGATGTTGAAAAGGACAGGAAAGCTTGCAATTAACACCAGGAGCTGAACCCTTCTGCTCCTTCTGTTTTCCCAAAATGTGCTTAGATAGAACTATGATCTAAAGTGTACATTATTTTATAATACAAACATGAAGATAAGAAGCGTATGTGTGACTACAGAACTCTGTCAAATACATTTATTACTTCTGTATGCAAATACATCTTGTCCTACCTTCACTCCCAGAGGAATCCTGGTTATCAGGCTCTGGGGATGAGAAACCACACTCTCCTTTCTTCTGGCCAGCTGGCTTTCGTTTGACTTTTGGAACACTAACCTACAATTGATAAACTTATGAATTATTTCAGAGAACCAGCACTGTAGCAAAGCAGCACATTCTAATAGTAACAGTTAAAAGCAACTAATACCCAATAAAAGCCCAAGTTAAAATTTCTGATGTATCAGCGCTTTTTGCATCTTCCCATTTAAAGGAAAATACATATTAAACTGTTGAGTTCAAGTTTGGTTATTTTATATTCCTATCCAATTAAGTAATTTCTACTGCTTAGGATGCAACACAGAAGTTAAAACTATGGACTGGGTAAACTACTTTTTTGTAGGATCACAACAACATTTCTCATTGCTCCCAACGCTTTGATGACCTTTGCACACATAATACAATATATACAAGTCCCTGGATCTTGCTGTGTGCACTAATAGACCTGGAACATACCATTGGTGTCCGATGTCGAACTTTTGTTTGGATGGTGCCATCTTTTTCGAATTGGATCATATCATTCAAAGGGTCCCATGGTCTGGTACTAGACAAAGCAAATATAATTGATTAATACCACCTACAGCCAGCCCTAACCTGAAGAGCCAAGAAAGTAAAAAAAAATTACGCTTTACATCCAACAACTCTCAGCCAGCTGGTAAGAGTACGAACGATTGAATTAACCACCAATATCAGTCTGAATTTATCTGGCTAGTGATATGTATTTGTCAAACATGGAGAGGTTTTCTGCTTCAAAAAGAAGAAAAAAAAAGAAAAAATCCTCTGATTAATGTACAGTTATTATTTTACAATTACAGGGAAATTGGGGGATTTAAAAACATATTGTTATTTTGGCCTGCTTTTCTTTTTTTTTGTTCTTTTTAGAAGATGTCTGGGAAGGAGAGGTTAAGAATCAGTGACCTCAAACCTGTTTTCATCCCAAAGTGGCTTACGTTAATCAAGACTGGTTTCAAGAGGTACTATGAGCTACACACAGTTTTCTTGTTCTGATTTTCCAAGAGTGCTTTTCCAAGTGCAGGCTGACAGAGAATTAAAAATAAATAAATAAGTAAATAAATAAATATACAATTATGAGCACACACAGCTCACTGGAGAACAAGCAGCTGCCAAAGGCAAAGACTGACATTCTCACTAATTACAGCCTTTTCAGGATACAAACTGCAAGCCAGCTGTGGGAAGATTGTTCTGATGCACAGCTTTAGCGAGAGTAGATTAAGCATGGATTTCCTTTCATCTCCTCCCATATGCCTTTTAAAAAGTTGGTAGCTGTTTCAGACCACAAACCTGCATTTACATCTTAGCATAACCTGACAAATTCAATACCATCATAGGTAACTGGGTTCAAAACTAGGCAATGCTCTCCCAAAGGTCTTTTGTATCTGTAACCCAGATACTTTAACAAATGCCACAGCTCACTGAATGCATCTTTCACAGTAAGTGTGAAAGACAGCTCTCTACATGGATGAGGTGGTGAGCCAGCACTGTATGTGTAAAAGGAGACAGCCGTTTTGTCTGGAGACTGCTGACAGCATAGACTGCTTTCTATCACACAGCAAAATTTCCATGGTGCCTCCTTCGACCACAAGGCCTCAAGAAGCCATGAAATAATGCAAAGTAACAAAACAGACTATCCCCTGAAGCTTTAAGACCTAACAGGTCTAAAGTGCAGTACTTTTCCTGATGGTTAGACACAGGGTTCAATGGTACAGGCAGTCAGTTCAGCTGCACTGTTCACAATTCTTCCAAGAACAGGCATCAAGAGCACTAGAAGGTTCAAACCAAGGGTGTTTCACAGAGCATTTGGTCTATGTGGGGAATTCCCTGAGGCAGGATGTTTTCGGTAATAAAGGGCTAGGCTCCAAGCTGACTTCTGCAAACAGTGGCAAGAACAGAGAATGCATCCCAGCAGTCAGGGAGACACCTATGTCTTCATTTTCTCATCCAGATCATCATGCAAAGAGATCTACAGACACTCATATGTGCAGTCCACATCTGACAGCTGATCTGAACCACCTGGTCCCAGCATTAACATTGCTGCAAACATGTTATTCTCAGAGTTCAGCTCAATTAAGCACAGGCTTTTCTGACTTCCAGACACTAGATTTTTTTTGACTTCCAGTTGGTATGCCTGTATGTACCATATTTTCCAGTCTGGGAAAATCTGTGTAGCTGCTCTGGTCAGCCTGGGAGAGGGGAAGAAATGAGCACAATACATCATCCCAAAGTGCCATGGCCAAGAAACTCTAGAACATAGCATGAATTTGGAGAGGCACATAAAGATAAAAAAAGAAAAAGCCCATTGCAGTGGTTACATGAAACATGGCTTGCTACATTAGCAATCCCTGCCTTTTCAACACTAAAAGGGCCAGTCAAGTTCAGCTAAAAAATTATGCATTTGAGTTAAAGCGCATGAGTAAGAATATCAGGTAGCACTGCATATTTCACAAGTTTGAGCTGAGCTGAATATCCACGTTCTTTTGCTCCTGAAACCATAGGAAGAGGCTCAGCAACACTAACAAGGAATTAACAAGCAGTTTTTGTAACAAGCACATCAGGACTCACTCTGCGTATTTGTAGTGCCATTCGCCTGTGACTGAATCCTGATCAAACAGTTTGCATGTCCACTCTTCACCCTTAAGCTTCCTCTCTTTGGCACTCTTTCTCTGAGCTTCTTCCAGAACATATTTCTCTTGAGTAGCTTCTGTTTGGTCTTTATTATTTATTGCTCTTGTCACTTGTTGCCAAAGCCTGACAAACAAGCAGAGAGTTACAATATGCTTGGCAAATAATTGGAAACATTTCCTTAGTTATAGGTTAAATAAATGGAACAACCTCTAAAAATAATATTACCATGTTGTAATGTATGTTTTATCTACAACATTTCCATCAAGACTTCCCATGATTGTAAGGTTTGTAAATAACGATCTTGTATTTAACAGTGTTGCTTTCTTGTTTTACAGGAAAACAACAACAAACAGGCAAAAGAAAGAAACAATCTGTTCATATTTTGGAGAAGATGATGTGCTTTATTTTGTCAAAATAACTATACATGGTTCTAAAGTGAACTTACTTCTCTGACTCAAAGTCATCTTGCTCTTCAAACTTCACTGTGTACCTAGGTAATCTACGCTGCTTGATATCAGACGTTGGGTTCCAGAATGTCTCTGAGACATCTGTCTTCTTCTCACTAATAGTAACTTCACTGTCCTGTAAAATATATAATTCAGTTACCTTAATTGTAATAATCTCAGAGTGCCAAAATAACACAAAAGGGAGAAACAGGCCTATTTTTTTAAAATGAGAATTTTCTTTCATTTAAATGAATGTAGTTAAGAACAATTAGATATGGTAACTTTAAAATTCAGTTCCGATATGGAGCAGAGTTGCAATGAATCAATCAGCGGTGCCAGTGTTGCCTCACCAGAACTGAAACAAGTATAAACACTTCATGCTGGTGCCATAACCATTCTTTCCTAGCACTAACACATATAATAAAAAGATTTCACAAGCTTAAATGTACTTTCTTAACTACTCAAACTTACACAACTTTTCCACCTTTTAACAGCTGCAAATAATACTATGTTGATTCTATACTTTCTTGAAAACTAACTATAGATACTTTCTATAAAAGTGGTAGTTAATCAACTCCTTTTTAAAGATTAAGTCTTTTTTTTTTTGTAACTAAGTGCTATTTCACCCATCCCAACTATCAGCCAGAATATAAAGTCTCATCAATCACTACTTACCCAGTGACCCTCCAAAATAGCCAGAACTTCTTTGCCAAGCTTAATTTTCCCTGATATTTGGTTAACACTGTCATTGTTACCCAAAAAAGGCTGCAGAACAAAAAGAAATGCTTTCATGTTTATTTTAATACAAATTTATTTTTGCATTTATGTTTAGTATTAAGGAAAAAAAAATGAAGAAATGTGATGCAAACAGCCCTGGTGACTTTTAATATTAAAACTTCTGCCTATTTAATCCCCAAAACAAGTCTAAAACCACAGTAAGTTGTTCTCTCATTCCCCTGTTCTTAAAGGATTTCCTGAGCAAAAGCATTGCCTAAGAAATGTGGAAAGAGAACAGAAAATAATGCAGAAAACAATGACACAATGAAATCTTGGAGGGCATAGTCATTTGCTACGCTAATCTCACCACTTTGGCAAGGGCCATTTGTTACTTAGAGATTAAGTAACAACAGAATTGATTGTCTGGGATTTTCTTTGGCCTTTTTGATGACCTACACATGTATCCTGTGGGCTGATGAGGCAAAATATCAACACAGCCTCCTTTTATGTTTCCTCTATTATTTCAACTGAATACAGCTTCCCCCTCCATATGCATACTTCTTAACAATTATTTGGTCAGCTTTAAATCAGTGTCTGATTCAAAGATGGCAAATGTATTTATCAGAAGTGAAAGCCATCTATAACTAGTTTAGAAACCTTTGTTTAGCTTTTGTGAGTGGAGGGATGTTCCTACAGCATACATAGCTGCCAAAAATAGTCCATACAAACTGTTGCTTAGCACTGGGCATTAGGCTGACATAAATGTTAGCCAAAGCCTTTGCATCATCTTTGTTTGAGGTAAAACGAGCAACTGAAGTTTACCCCAGACAGAAGAGGGGAACCTGGGTCTCAGTTCTCCTCCAATGGCTCTCCAGGAGTTTAAAGGAGACCCTGAACATGTTTAGAGAATTAAAAGTCACCAAGGTGTATTAACAACAATACATAAAATACCTGAACCACTGATCAGATCACTGTTCTTACACTTTTCTTAGACACTGTTGCCACCGCTGGAGATAAGACAGACCTTTGCTTTTTCCCCAGTAGTGGTGCTCTTAAGATTCATACCATTAGCAATATGCTTGCATCTCTTATCACCAGAGATGAAGACAGCACTGTAAATTTCAGACAAAAACTCTGGACTCAGAAGAATACACTAAGAAAAAAGAGGACAATATAATTCCTCTTAAATAAATAAATAAATAAAATACCACTATTTGCTAGATACACACAGCTGGATAGGTAGCAGTTAAAGTGAAAATTCCTCAGTTTCCAAAAAGACAATTCCATATTAAATCAGACTGTATCTAAGGAGTGACCTAATTTCCATATTTTTTTTTTTATTCTCATTATACTCATTCACCTTCTTGTGCCCACTCACAGCATTTACTAACCTTAAGTTTGAATTCAATTGTTGCACTGTAGCCAGTTTTCTCACAAGTGATGTTGACTGTTCCCCCAAGCTCTAAGGTCATTGTGCCATAAAGAATTCCTGCAAAAGAAAAAAAAAACAACTAAAATTAATATTTATAACTGATCAAGATAAAAACCCTGAGTTCTCTGGGCACAATTCGTAGAGTAAACATGTCTGTGCCAGAGGAAAAATCATCATTTCAGATGACCTTTCCTAATGATAAGCATGATATTTCTGCCACATAAAACAGATCGGTTTTGTTTCTGCTTGGGTTAAGTGAATTACATATAAGCAGGAAAAATGGTTTGAGACGTATCTTTGGTGTTGTATGCTGCTGGCTCTAGCAAGGGGGGTATTTAGTCATATTGGAGGTGATTGGAGGATGGAAGCTTTTGAGGTTAAGGCTGGCAAATAACTACATGACAAAGAGAGCAAAGAAAAACTTCACTTGAACAGAAGCAGTATGTATAGTCAGACCACAGGTGATGACAATCATGGACAGCCTATGTAAGACAATAAGGATCACCTCCCTAAAGGCTTTTGGAAGTACAAGGTTGACAATGCTGAATACAATTTCTTTTCTGTGACTGCTGTCTTTTCCCCTGCCATCCAGCATTTAAACCACTATATATTTTACATACAGCGAATGCACATGCAAATTTTTCTTACCATGCAATCCTCCTTCCCTCTGTATTCTTCCATCTCCCTATCTGCTTTATTAACCCACTAGTTCCCCTCCTTCCTGTTTAACTTAAATATACATATGTTACGTGCTTTTTAATTGTTAAGTATTATTTTTGTCACTGAAGCCATAAAAAAAAATCCAGAGTATTAAAAATTCCATGAACAAAATTAATGCCAAATTATGTAATTATGATAATTGATTGTCATGCATCTTGAAATAAGAAGTTACTATAGTTGCTGACTGTAAGGCTTCTGAAAGAGAATCCTGGCAGAGAACATACAGATAGCTAAACCTGAATAAATACCAGTTTAAAAATCAGCAACTGCAATGTATGATGTACTACCACTGACCTTCCTGGAAGCTTTAAGAACTACTGACTGGTTTCCCATCATGAAACTAAAAACAAATGGCCATGATTTACACTCAAATCACACAGTGAGATATAGATACTACACTGCCTTTTATAAGAGGAAAACACTGGAAAAGATCAAAATGGTTCATTTTAAACAGTACATTTACTTAATGTATATTTAAATGTCAAGTATATTTAAATTACAAACAGTAATTTACTGCCATGTAATGATAAATAGATACATATATCCTCTTACTATTTAAGGAAAATAAATAAATTTTCTGTGCCAAAAAATATATCACTGCTTAAATAACAGATGTATTTTTCTCCTGGTAAAATATGTGGAAGCCTAGAGCCAGCAATATTGCTAATATTCAGAACACTCGGCTGACAAGCTCAAAGTCACCACATTATACTATATAGAATAATGTACTATTTAGAATAATAAACTTCTGTTTTCATAATTTTTGCCATCCAGAGAATGAAAAAAAAGCCCATTACCTTTACAGTGAGCATATGGCATTGTCATTACATAATCTTCTCCCCTGTTTAGGAATGTTAGCCGTCCTTCTCCATCTAGTATGGCAGATAATGAATTCCCTGAAATTCAAAGACAGCATATCATATTTCTCGCCTCGCAAGACAACAGTCAACATTTCATAATAACTGAGCAATAAAATTAAGAACAGTGGTATATTTAGCATTGCAATCTATCCTGTCTAGTGAAACCACTGTAATACACAGCTTCTCCAATTAAAAACTTAAAATGCTCAAAAAAAATAGAAATTACAATTCCAAAGACCAGTAGCAAAAATGTCTCAAGGAACAGATAATACAATGATCAACACCCTGACTCTTCTAACAGTCTTCTCTCATGCACAAAACATGTCATTTGCACTGTTTTTATACTCCTTAATAAACATAAAAGCAAAAAAAAAAAAAATCCATTATTTACCATAGAATTTTGATTTGGCCAGAATGCTACCACTAAGGCAAAAACCATCCTTGCGGTTGCTAACATAGAAGGCAGATATTGGAGGATGATGTGACACCTGTAGGGAAAAAGGGAAAAAACCACATATTTAAAAAAAAAAAAAAGAAGAAAAAAGGAACATGCAATATAGCATAAACCTTGACCTAATAGTAACAGAATGCAAAATTCAGGCTGCACATGATAAGAATACAGTTAATATATGTGAAATGCGACTATAATCTTTAAAGATCAAGCGAACACATAGTTTCAAAAGCTAATAAAATTAGGACCTGACTTTTGTTATAGAGAAAGGGAACAGAAATGCTGCAAACATCTTTCTGTCTCTCCAGGAAGACACACTTAAAAGAGACATCTGTAAAAAAACTATTCTTACCACAACAGAACCAGAATATAACTCATACATTTAAATATATTTTCTGAAACCACCACACCATTTGGCTACCACAAAAATGCAAAATATTTATTTTTCTTTAAAATATTTCTTCCAGTTATTGCAGCTACCTGTTCTGCAATGTAAAAAGTCTTGCTATTTGTCCTTGGATGAATCCACATGCAGCGGAAGGTCTCACCAAGTATAGGATTGTACGGCTTTTTTAGTCCCTAAACAGAAATAGAGCAGAGAGTAACCATACAATGCAGGTACAGAACTCAAACTTTATCTGTCTGTCACTGAAGATAAGACACAGAAAAAAATGCAACCACAGCATGTATGCTAAGAACACTGTACTTGAGTTCATCATTTGAGCATTATGCTGAGTTACTCTGCTCCTCACTCTAAGGAAAATGACATAGATTTGGTCTATCTGCTTAACTATTCCAGGCTACACTTAAGGACAAAGAGAATATAAGGTCTTTTTGTATGAAATTATTACAGACCTCTGTCTCAAGTTGGCTAGTGAGTACTTTCTTCTTTCACTACTGTTTCCCACCAACATAACTATAAAGAATATTTAGTGTAAAGCTAAATAAGTAGTGGAAATATTAATCCTTCAGCTGCAGCATGTTATCATGGAAGAAAGGTAAACATAGAACTGGTTCCACTTTATCACAAAATGTTTAGTTCAACTTCAAGGGAAAAAAAAACAATTGAATACAGTCTATTCTAAGCATGACAAAAATGTCAATATGTGTAAAAAAAAAGTTAACGTTGCTTTTAAAACAACACCCAAGAATATAATCTAAAGAGAAAATTTACTCTAGCACATCCCTGAGCCCTCAAACCAGACACAATGACTAAAGACAAAATAACATGCAACAGGATACCTTTGGCTTTTTGTAGAATCCTGACAAATACCACTTCACTACTTTTTTCATGCGGTTGTAAGCATTCTCTTCAAGAGCAGCTCTATGAAACAAACAGAACACGCATCAAATACCAGTATTGTTTAAGTTACGACACACGTATCAATCATTGTGATGTATCTTGAATCTAGGAGCTGACTTAAACAAAGGGTTTGTGATTGGTGCTACTGTAAAACTTTCAGCCTGAGTGCTTCAAATTCACACTTTTCAAATAATTGTCTGAAAATGGAAATAGAACAAAAATCCAGAAATGGTATTTCCATAACCGACTCTGTTCTTTGTAACATTAAATCCTGTTCCTGTAATAGTGAAGATCTTCCATTTATAAGATACTGCTTTAGAGAACTGGATTTCTCATGTACAGGACTCAGAGTTGAATAATATTTCAATTTATAGTCATTTATTTATTAGCTACATTTGAGAAGGGAAGTAAAAATCTGAATGAACTTCATATTGTATTAAAAGGATTTACTGGTACTGTTTTACCCATTCTGAATATGCCTCCTAAAAAAAGAAAGAAAGCGTAATTTTGTGAAGTCTGCCATCCAGTCTTCAAAAGCTAAATCAGAAATGTCTGTAACACAATTGCTATTAAATTACCAAGACAGCCAGACTTCAAGAATTACCATATGAGCTCTCAGGCAGTTAGTTTTCAGAAAACAAGGACATCTGATGACTGATACACTTTAAAACAAACACTCAGACTCTAAGTAGTCTACAGTGTTTAAGCAGACCAGATCAAATGTTTCAGTATACACTGTTAGCCCATTTTCTTTTAAATAATTGAAAGAATGAAAGCCAGAGATAGGATTGACTCACTCAGACAAAAAGTCTGCATGGTAGTAGTAATCAGACAGCTTGTCCAGGAAAGAACGGGGTTCCAAGATAAACGTAGGCAGTACAACCTTGGACAAGTCCATTCCTGGCCGGACTTGCTTCAGTAGTGTCCAGATCAGACTTTTGTTTTCTTCTGACACTACTTCTGTCTGAGCAGCCTCCCCCGCCTAGGATGAACAAAAAAATGCTTACAGAAAGGAGAAAGAAAATAATCCTCCAGAAGACAAATCAACATATTCTAAAGATGCAATGAGAATGGAAAAATGGATACTTCAGATGAACTACTCAAAGAAGCTGGAGCAGCTATGGGAGAAAAAAAAATCAAGTTTCTCTAAATACATTTATGATACATATGCTGTTACTATTCAGCATTAAAAAGTGAAGTTGTTTTCATCAGCCCTAAAAGAGAAATACTGAGGTAGAATGTCATTCAGAAATCCTCCCTTAGTCCTTTCCTGGGCATCAATAAAGTACATTACCCTGTGTTCTCACATGCAGGACTTCTACAGCAAAGGGCTGTTAATTCTACCGTTTCCCCACCACGGAAGTTGCCACATCTATGCTTTTTATCTGACCAGTCAACAATATCAGTGGGTTTTCTTTCCTTAAAAGAAAACCACTGCTTAGAGGTAGGTATGCAGAACCAGAAGCCACACTCCATTGTGCTCCTTTCTGTCCAAGAGGGGAAGAGGGGAGATATTCTTCCTTACAGTTTCTGAAATTAACAACAAAGGTTGTAGGAAAAGCATCCCTCCTTCCAGAACAGTTCTAAAAAGCATACTCAAGAATTTACTGTTAACTTAAACTCACCTTTTCCTAAATTACTACTTTTCCTAGAAACAACAGTAGAAAGCAATAAAGCACAAAGTATTTATGTCCCCTGGGTATGAAAAAGAATTAAAATCTTGTCATTAGCACCTGAGAATAAAGTGAATATTTGTGAAAAAGCTCATCTCACTTTCTGTTACTAAATTTTTTTGTATCTTTCAAGTAAGTAAAACATATAAATCCCTGTTGTGTTTGCTTGTGTAGATACGTAAGACAACTTGCATAAGTAGAATGGCAGCTCTGGGGCACCTTATTAGAATGCAAGGGGACATCAGAAATGCAGGAAGTTCCACTGAATTCTGCAGACCCCACAGGTGCTTAACTCCTCTCTTGCAGTACAAAAAGAGGTGTCAGCTTGACTTAAAGTCTTCAACTTGGGAGATTTTTACTTGAAGAAAATAACAGGAATAAGTTAATAAAAATGAGATAGAAATAACAACAAAAGGACAAATAGATATGGTCAACTTCTGCTGCATGTGGCACTTTCAAACTGAGCACCTTCTGTCTCAGCAGCGTTACAAATAATCTCATTATCTGTCAAAATATCGGACACAAGCACAAGAGTGGCAAAGTAGAGCACAAAACAGGTGAACAGAACTTCCTCCCCACCTCCATTATTGCTGAAACTATGAAAGCCAATCCTGCAAGTCAGCTTTCAAGCATAGACTAATATCAGCTTTCTGTACGGAGAAGCTGCTTGCTTGCCACATCAACAGCACTTTTACCTCCCCAAGTTCTTCATGACTCTGTTCTACGTAAGTAGTTTCCTTGATATCAATTGGTTCTGGATCAATGTAAGAATCATCCTGCCGCTCCGATGTGTCGCTATCGCTTTCTTCGCTTTTCCCCAATCCATCATTATCAGATTCCTCGTGGTCATGGTCATTTTCCTTATCAGATTTGTCAGAGTACATATCGTGATCTTTAAAGTGATGCCTTTCAATTTCACTGTCATTCAACCTACAAAAAAGAAAAAAAGACTATTGAATCTTCAACTTCACACAATGATACCATGTTTCCAAAACAGGATCTTAATAAAATTCATGCTAAAACTGCACATTTCAAGCTTGATCTGGCAGCAATGTCAAACTAGCTTTGCTGGAAACATATAGGATATATTCTTCTCAGTGAACTGTCAAACACACCAAGTCTAGAACAGTTCCATTGGAAAGGACCCACTGCCTGAACACCTCAGGGCTGACCAATGGTTAAATCATGTTATTAAGGGCATTGTCCAAATTCCTCAAACATTGGCAGGCTTGAAGCATCGGCCACCTTTCCAGGAGCCTGTTCCAGTGCTTAACCACTCTCTAAGTAAAGAAACATTTCCTAATGTCAATTTTGAATGTCCTCTGACACAGCTTTGAGCCATTCCCTAGCACTAGATACCAGGGAGAAGAGCTCAGCATCTCCCTCTCCACTTCCCCTCCTCAGGAACCTGGAGAGAGAAATTAAGTCACCCCTCAACCTCCTTTTCTCCAAACTAGACAAACCCAAAGCCCTTAGCCACTCATCACAGGACATTCCTTTCAGCTCTTTCACCAGCTCTGTTGGCCTCCTCTGGACACATTCAAGGACCTTCATATACTTTTAAATCCCGGGGCCCAGAACTGCAGACAGGACTGGGAGACATTGCTGTGGGGATCTGTTACAGACCGCCTGATCAAGGAGAATCTGCAGATGAAGTACTCTATAGACAGACAGGAAAAGCCTCACACTCGCAGGCCCTTGTTTTCATGGGTGACTTCAACCACCCTGACATCTGTTGGAAGGACGGTGCGGCTGGGCACAAGCAATCCAGGAGGTTCCTTGATTGTGTAGAAGACAACTTCCTTCTGCAAGTAACAGAGGAGCTGACAAGGAGAGGGGCCATGCTTGACCTCGTGCTCACCAACAGGGAAGGGCTCGTTGGAAATGTGATGCTCCAGGGCAGCCTTGGTTGCAGCGATCAAGAGATGGTCAAATTCGAGATCCTCAGGACAGCGAGAAGAGGGCACAGCAAGCTCACTGCCCTGGACTTCAAAAGAGCAGACTTTGGCCTCTTCAGGAACCTGCTTAGTAAGGTTCCATGGGATACAGCCCTAGAGGGCAGGGGGGCCCAAGACTGTTGGTTGGTATTCAACGACCACCTACTACAAGCTCAGCAGTGTTGCATCCCAACTAGAAGGAAGTGCAGCAGGAGGGTCAGGAGATATGCCTGGATGGATAAGGAGCTGCTGAGGAAAATTCAAATGAAAAAAGAGGCTTATAAAAGGTGGAAGCAAGGACAGACGGCCTGGGAAGAGTATAGGGATGTTGTCCGGGAAGCTAGGGAGCAGGTTAGGAAAGCCAAGGCCCAGTTAGAATTAAACTTGGCTAGGGATGTGAAAGATAACAGGAAGGGATTCTACAGATACGTAGCAAATAAAAAACAGACTAGGGAGAACGTACGCCCCCTCAGGAAGCTCTCGGGAGAACTGGCTACACAGGATTTGGAGAAGGCTGAGGTTCTGAATGACTTCTTTGCCTCAGTCTTCACTGGCAAAGGCTGCGACTGCACCACCCAAATCTTGGAAGGTGGATGCAGGGACTGTGAGAATGAAGACCCTGGGTCCACTGTAGGGGAGAACCTGGTTAGAGACCATCTTAAAAATCCAAGTCCATGGGTCCTGATAAAATCCATCTGCGGGTCCTGAAGGAGCTGGGGAATGAAGTTGCGAAGCCGCTGGCCATCATATTTGAGAAATCATGGCAGTCAGGTGAAGTTCCCGATGACTGGAAAAAGGGAAATATAACCCCCATTGTCAAGAAGGGGAAAATGGATGACCTGGGGAATTACAGACCAGTCAGTCTCACCTCTGTGCCTGGCAAAATCTTGGAGCAGATTCTCCTGGAAGGCATGCTAAGGCACATGAAAAACAACAAGGTGCTTGGTGACAGCCAGCATGGCTTCACTAAGGGGAAATCCTGCCTCACCAATTTGGTGGCCTTCTACGATGGGGCTACAGAACTGATGGACAGGGGTAGAGCAGTTGATGTCATCTACGCAAAGCGTTCGACACTGTCCCACACGACATCCTTGTCTCTAAATTGGAGAGACATCAATTTGATGGATGGACCACTCGGTGGATAAAGAACTGGCTGGATGGCCGCACACAAAGAGTTGTGGTCAATGGCTCAATGTCCAGCTGGAGACCAGTAATGAGTGGTGTCCCTCAGGGATCGGTGTTGGGACCGGTCTTGTTCAACATCTTTGTTGCTGACACAGACAGTGGGATTGAGTGCGCCCTCAGCAAGTCTGCCGATGACACCAAGCTGTGTGGTTCAGTTGATACGCTGGAGGGAAGGAATGGCATCCAGAGGGACCTTGACACGCTTGTGAGGTGGGCTGATGCCAACCTCATGAAGTTTAACCATGCCAAGTGCAAGGTCCTAACACCTGGGTCAGAGCAATCCCAGGCACAGCTACAGGTTGGGCAGAGAAGAGATTCAGAGCAGCCCTGTGGAGAAGGACTTGGGGGTGTTGGTAGATGAGAAAATGAACATGAGGCAGCTTCAGTGTGCGCTTGCAGCCCAGAAAGCCAACCGTATCCTGGGCTGCATCAAAAGGAGTGTGACCAGCAGGTCAAAGGAGGTGATCCTGCCCCTTTACTCTGCTCTTGTGAGACCTCACCTGGAGTATTGTGTGCAGTTCTGGAGTCCTCAACATAAAAAGGACATGGAACTGTTGGAACAAGTCCAGAGAAGGGCCACGAGGATGATCAGGGGACTGGAGCACCTCCTGTATGAAGACAGGCTGAGAAAGTTGGGGCTGTTCAGCCTGGAGAAGAGAAGGCTGCGTGGAGACCTCATAGCAGCCTTCCAGTATCTGAAGGGGGCCTATAGGGATGTTGGGGAGGGACTCTTCATTAAAGACTGTAGTGACAGGACAAGGGATAACAGGTTAAAACTTCAACAGGGGAAGTTTAGATTGGATATAAGGAGAAAATTCTTTCCTGTTAGGGTGGTGAGGCACTGGAATAGGTTGCCAAGGGAGGTTGTGAATGCTCCATCCCTGGCAGTGTTCAAGACCAGGTTGGACGTAGCCTTGGGTGATATGATTTAGTGTGAGGTGTCCCTGCCCATGGCAGGGGGGTTGGAACTAGATGATCTTAAGGTCCTTTCCAACCCTAACCATTCTATGATTCTATGACTCAAGGTGAGGCCTGTCAGCCTGACCTCAGTGGCAGGGAAGACCATGGAGCAGATAACCCCAAGTGAGATCACAAAGCACGTGTGGGAAAACAGGGGGATCAGGCCCAGTCAGCACGGGTTCATGAAGGCAAGCCCTGCTTGATCAACCTGATCTCTTTCTAAAACAAGGAGATATACTCAGTAGATGAGGGAAAGGCTGTGGACACTGTCTATTTGGACTTCAGTAAATCTTTTAACACTGTCTCCCCACATCATCCTCCTGGAGAAACTGGCTGCTCATGGACCAGATAGGTGTATTCTTTGCTGGGTTGGAAACCGTCTGGATGGCAGAGCCCAAAGAGTGGTGGTAAATGGTGTCACATCTAGTTGGTGACCAGTCACTAGTGATGTCTCTCAGGGCTCGGTGTTAGGGCCAGTGTTATTTAATATCTCCGCTGATGATCTGGATGAGGGGATTGAGTGCACCCCCAGCAAGTTTACAGGTGACACCAAGTTGGGCTGGAGGATAGGAAGGCTCTGCAGAGGGATCTGGACAGGCTGGATCGATGGGCTGTGGCCAATGGTATGAGGTTCAACAAGGCAAAGTGCCAGGTCCTGTACTTGGGCCATAACAACCCTATGCAAAGTTGGGGAAAAGTGCCTGGAAAGCTGCTCAGTAGAAAAGGACTTGGGAGTGCTGACTGATAGCTGAACATGAGCCAGATTGTGCCCAGGCAACCAAGAAGGCCAATGGCATCCTGGCCTGTATCAGCAATAGCGTGGCCAGCAGGGCCAGCAGTGATCAACCCCCTGTAAAAGGCAGAGGTGAGGCTGCACCTTAAATCCTGTGTTCAGTTCTGGGCCCCTCACTACAAGAAAGACATTGAGATGCTGGAGCGGGTCCAGAGAAGGGCAATGAAGCTGGTGAAGGGTCTGGAGCACAAGTGTGATGGGGAGCAGCTTGAGGAGACTGGGGGTGTTTAGTCTGGAGAAGAAGGCCTAGGGGGAAACAATGCTCTCTACAGATACCAGAAAGGAGGATGGAGAGGAAGTGGCTGGTCTCTTTTCTGAAGTAACAAGTGATGGACAAAAGGTAACTGCCTCAAACTGTACCAAGGAAGGTTTAGACTGGATATTAGAAAATATTTCTTCACAGAGAGGGTGCTCAGGCATTAGAACAGGCTGCCCAAGGCAGTGGTGGAATCTGTCCCTGGGAGCGATCACAAACGGTGCAGACGAGGCCCTCAGTGACATGGGTTAGTGGTGGCCTTGGCAGTGCTGGGGTAAGGGTTGCACTTAATGATCTTAAAGGTCTTTTCCAGCCTGGTTGATTCTATGAACCCAGTGAGATCATCACCTCTTTTGGCTGGCTGGTTATGCTGTGTTTGATGCACCCAGGCGAGGCTTGCCCTTCTGGATGCCAGGACACACTGCTGGCTCCTGCTGCAGCTGCAGCCAACCAGCACCCCCAGGCCCCTCTCTACAGGGCTGCTGTCCAGCCACTCCTCTCACAGGTTACACTTCTGCCTGGTGTTACTCAGCCCCAGGCACAGAACCTGGCATTTGCTCTTGTTAGATTTCCTGCCACTGAAGTCTGCCCAATGCTCCAGTCTATATAAAGCCCTCTGCAAGGCTCCTCACCCCTCAGGCAAGCTCACAGCACCTCCCAGTTCAGCATCATCAGCAAACTTGCATCCAGATCGTTGATAAAAATGCTGAACAGAACAGGCCCCAGGACTGATCCCTGATGAATACTGCTGGTGACTGGTCACCAGCCAGGGATAGCCCCATTCACCCCTTTGAGCCCTGCCCTTCAGCCATTTCTTCACCCAGTGCATTGTGAACCTGCTCATGTCACAGCTGGATAACTTGTCTAGAAGGGTGCTTCACAGCACTACCCAGCTAAGGAACACCCACCACCTTCTCTTCATCCACTAGGCAGCTGACTTGATCATAGAAGGATATCAAATTACTTAAACAGGACTTTCCCTCTCTGAACCCATGCTGACTGGGCCCAGTGATTGTGCTGTTCTCTAAATGTCTTTCACCTAGTATGATTGTCTCCATATTTTTTTCCAGGTACTGAGATCAGACTAACAGGTCTGTAGTTTCCTGGGTCTTCCCTCGCACCCTTCTTGTAAATTGGAATAATGTTGGCTAGCTTCCAGTCAGCAGAGACCTCTCCAGACTGCCCACACCTTTGGTAGATGATTGAGAGGGGTCTTGCTGTAACATCCACTAGTTTCTTCAATACTCTGGGATGAATCCCATCAGGCCTCATGGTCTTATGAGCACTGAGCTGATACAATTCGTCTCTAAAAACACTTCATTGTCCACAGATGGAAGATCACTGTTCCTGCATTCATGGTCATCAAACCCAGAGGACAGGGCAGCCCAAGGTCTAGTATTATTAAAGACCAAGGCCAAAAAAAAACAACATTGAATGTCTCCAGATTTTCTACGCCTGTTTTTCAGGTGACCATCTTCAACAAGTATCAGTACTATGTGTTCTTTGGACCACCTCTTGCTATTAATGTGCCTAAAAAAACTAGCTCATAGTTGAAGTTAAAACTGCTTTCACCTTTCTTTTCCCTCTCCTGTCAAGCCCATTAAAACTAGGCCTGCAGGCTTTGTTGCTTAGATAGTTAAGCATACTCAAAAGTCTTAGAACATGCTATATCCAAAGATCTACTTAATTAAACCATTAGTCTTAATTAGACTTAACATTTGTAGTTAATTGCTATGATTGTAATTTGGGCCAGCTGCTGATATTAAGGTACTAATCATGAGTATAGATCTCCAGCTGGATTGTACACAGCAGTTTTATTGATTCTATGAGTTAAAAGAAGGAGCAAAACTGTAGCTGAGCCTGCTTGGTCATGTGGATAGGGACTTGAATCTGGGCCAGGGGCAATAATTTGCCTTTTCGGTGCTGTTCTCAGACTACCTGTGGCAGAAAGAATTGCATTTCTCCCAGTCCAGGTCTTCTGTCACAAATACAGCATCATACTCTTAAAAGCAGTACAAAATTCCTGCCCACCCAGAAAAGAGAGATGGACAGTTAAATCTTCATGGATGGGAGGGATTATCTGAAATAAATTTACGTTCACCTGAAAGTACATTCAATTGGTGGAAGATTACCAAGAGAAACTACATAGCACAAGCTTCAGACTCAATTATTTCAAATAAATGACTAAATCTTTTATATTTTCTGATGCACTTTGGTACCACAATTGAAATGTTTGAAACCACCACTCATTGTTTAGTAATATATTTCATTGTCTAATAATATATTTCCACAAAAGCTCCCAAAAATCTGGCTGAAAGTATTTACTGAAATAAACAGGGAGCTACTCAGCGGCACACAGACATTAGATACGAGGTGATACCAGAAAATGTCAACTTTTGTGCACTTAATTTAATAGTAGGGTGAGAATCGTTACTCATCCATCTGACGATTCAAAGCTGAGACATGCTGAAACCATTTAACTAACAATACTATTATTAATTTCTTTAAACCACAGAACAGCAGCTTATATTCACATCTACCAACTTGTGTCACATGTACTAAACTTATTGTTTTCAGGTGAAGCTAACTTGAAGATACAAAATAATTAAAACTTTAACAGTCAGAGTACTTAAACTTACTGATGTGATACTCAACCTTGAGTTCTTGGGCTAAACTTTCCTCTGTATCCACTTTGGTTGGAAAAAAAAATGCTTTCATTTTATCCACATACAATATAAAACATAGTGCAGATATGGCATATGGAGAATTCAGGAGCAAAAAGAACTGCAACCTTGGAAAGAGATTTTCCCTGTGAAGAAGTTCTCACTACAAGGTTCTGCCAAAAGGACAATCAGGTTTAGTAATTAATTCACTTACGGTAGGTTTTCTCCACTGTGCAAGTTGTTAGCACGAAGCAGACCATAGAGAGAGACATGAGTACTGTCTGCTGAAGAGTTCAAATCGTGCTCTTTACCTTCTCTAATCATTGTTCGTTTAAGCAGACTTGAACATTTCAGTGCCAGTTCCAAGGCATCCATCCAACACCTGCCTAAAGACAAATGCATTACTAGACTAAAAATTAAGGATTTAACTGAACTATACAACTTCCATGTCCTAATTTCACAATAATTTTGGATCTGCTTACATCGCCTTTGAACACACTTCAGAGTTGTTCCATTTTACATGCACTGGGTTTATAATCTGGTGGGGACATCAAAACAACTCAAAACTACCCAGCTCTGGTAGAAGGGATGCTTTAGGATAGATAAGCAAGGTAGATTATGATTCTGTTAGAGCAGATTCCAGCATTTCTTCCTTAATGCAGATAATGGCTCCACGCAGGCCCTGTCTGTTGAATTTCTCCAAAGTTGCTTGCAGCCCTCCCTAGTTCTGAAGACTAAGTGCAAAATTTGCTCATGGAATACAATAATAGTGTGGGAAAGGAGCTATAATGATAGCGTATAAATGTCATTTCATTTTTTCAAAAAGTAACTGAACAGATTTATGTGTTTTTCCACTCCATATTTCTTCACTTCCATATATCTAACAGATTTTTCAATACAGAAGCAAGTAGTCCTATTTTTAAAGTCTGCAGGGGTATGCTTAATTAACCAGTAGAAGGAAAGCAACTACTAGACAGGTTACACAACAGTCCCAAATTTTGTTTCCAAATTGTAACCTTTGAAGATAGCTGCACTGATACTGACCACCGCTGTCAGAGTGATGAAGAGTGTCACAAAACTGTATTTTGAAGGAATTACTACTAGAACTCTGTTTAATTGCTGCACTTAATAATACACCCATGCTTTCATTAGAAAGAGAGTATGTTCACATTAGTACTTTACACAGGTACTAGGCTTGAGTATTTAGATGTACAGTAATACAGTTAAATCTGAAATAAGCCCTTTCCCCTTCTCCACCCAGCCAACACAAAGCAATTGCAAGGAGTTCAATGACAATTTCTTCAAGTCAAATTTTCCTTTGACAACCATGAAAAACTACTAGTACCAACACAACTGAAGGCACTAAGTTAAGGGAGAACCTTAACAATGATTAAACTGCAATCACAGTGCTGTAACAGATCTGGTAAGTCAACTGAAGCCACCTCTTTCTAATAACTAACTGCTGTCACTGTGGAAAACCACTGAAATATCTATTTACCATCTGATTCTGAAGCGGCTCGGATGATCAAATAACTGCTGGGCAACGGCTGAGTTATAGAACCAACGGCTTCACCTTTGGGACCCTTGAAACAGGAAAACAAGCAACAGCATCAGATGTTTTAATTCAGTTTTACGGTTTATCATTCCATGTAATAACAAGCTGACACACTGCAGGGCTATTTACTATCACTCAGCAACATCTAATGAAGACATGAATGGAAAGATGGACAGCCCTCTTTTACTGGATTTGTTCTTCAAAGACTTGATTCTAAGTATAGCTCCCAATTCAACCCCACTTTAAAAAGAACGGTCTTTGGGATTCAAATAATTTTGGTGGGTTCTTTTTTGTAAACCAGACTTGGCACAGTAACTTGGAAATGCTCTGCTGATGCTACTTATAGCAAGATGACAAAAGCATCAAAAGCAACACCATAGGGAAGTCACCCTCACTTCCCAGGGATCCCTGCAGATGGGTGTAGAGAGCTCACAAGGGACAAGCTATTCCTCATCAGCTCAGTGTTTCAGCTGAAGAGGCAAGATTGAAAGCAAGCAAAACAAGACATGTTTGTGGGGTGGTTTAAGAAAGTTGATTTACAACAAATGCTGCCAGTAGAAGGTGCCGCATTTGTACAGTAACTTGCTTGTTTCTCTCAAGTCACATTCGTTCCTGATGAGAGCAAAGGTTCCTCTCAGTTTCTACAAGGATGCTATGGATCATAGCACAGAGAGACATGAAGGCAAGCCAAACTCTTGCAGAGAACAGGAGGCCTTCTTTCAGTGACCCAGTTCGTGCTTACTTTATATGTCAATGTTTGGTGTCTCGGCACCATCCTGTGCTGTAGTACTGCGCAATTTCTGCCTGTCTTCAGAAGACAGACAAGTCAATTGGTATTTACATAAAATGGAAGTAGCTTCTCCCACCCAAACACTATGTATTGCTATAGAAACCCACTCACCCTTTCTCCCTCCCTCCCTCCTTCCCCTTCAACTTCATTCCTATACAGTAGTCAATTCCACAACATATTTAGGTGTCTAACTTTAGGCTTGGCATTTTAATAGGAAAAAAACAAGATGATGCCCAAGTCCATTAAAGTAATTTAGATGCTTAAGTCTCTCTATAAAAGGTATCAGCAGGACACCATGACATTATGTTCAATGACACACAAAGCATGTCAAATGACAAAGTTTAATTTTCACTGTGAAGTTCTTTACTTACCAAATAAAAAAACAAATCCCAAAGACCTTTCCATTTCTGTCAAGTTTCATTTTGGAATAAAATGCTAACCCCACTGTTTAAAAGCCCCTTCAAAAACAGTTTACATATGGTAACTAAGACAACTGATAGGCAAAGAGGGCTGTATTAAACATACTTGAAGCTATTGTCGAAAAGCTGGGTTAAGCCTGCCTAACTGGTGTGTTAACATATTTTGATCTTAATTGATTTCCCCCAGAGAAGCCTAATGAAAAGCCAGTACAAGGCTTAAAAGAGGGAACAGGAAAGCCAGCAGAAGTTTTGAGCAAAAGCAAATAAGGGCAGATATTTTAGAAGCAAGCAAATGAAACAGCCAGAACATTTCTGAGGGTGAGAGGTGGGTAACAAGGAGTCTTGGTGGCACTTAAATACCAATACAGGCAAGCTAGTGCTGGTGTAAATGATGTTCAGAAACTTCTAAATAGTCAGTATGGAGTAACAGCAACTAGGTGTTAGGAATAAGATTCCAAACCTCAGTCCCCCTCTGAGCAAGTGGAAAGATGCACCTACGATAGAGGTGAAGCTGCAACACAGGATTAGGAGTGAGCAGCTAACAAGAACCAGGAGAGACCACTCCATGCATGAGCACTCCTCACCCTGAGGGCAAGCAGGCAGGGAAGAAGTCTCACTCCCTACAGGTCCCTGAGGAAACGTGAGCACCACAGCGCAGAGCAGCACCAAGCAGGGGTGGGGAGGTGTTGGGCGCTGCATGGAGAGGACCGCAACACCGTGGGTGCACCAGCGCTGTGTGAAGGGCTTGACCATTACCAGTCCTCAGAACTGTCAGGTCACAGGACATGGACTAAGGACAGACCTCTCTGCCTGCAGGACCTGCCCTTTAGGATTACAGTGCAGCCATGCAGGGTACACTACTCCATACCAGATTACTATAATTTAAGAGAGGAAGTGTGACTTTGGTGTTTGTTTTGTTTCAATGCAAGAAAGCTATATTCCCCTACGTGCTTTGACAATGCCTTGATTAAAACTGAATGAATAATTCTTAGTGAACATTTCAGTAGGTTGACTTATTTTGGAGTAACTGCTTGAGGATCTTGAGTTCCTCTACTTGATTACTGTTCTAAAAGCACTGGACATTTTGTTTGGTATCACCCATTATAGTTTCAAAATCAATTTTCAGTATGTTAGTGTTCTCTAGAAGAGAGACATTAGCTTCCATTTGTTAAGTGATTGCATTTGAACTGTCTCTGCTCCTGACAGAGAGATGGGTACAACTACACCAATATAAGGTAATGGGCATGTTAAAAATACCACTAGATTAAAAAAAAAAAAAACCAACTTTAAAATTTACTTCCTACAGAATATTCATGCCAATAAAACTCAAATGCCATGAACATTCAGAGAAAGCAATAAAAGTCGGTAAGCAATCACACTTGACTAAATTTACTCATGAGAAATTATTTGCAGTAGTTTTTCTACTTATAAATTTTAGAAAACTGAAATGGCATCAGGACCAGGCAAGTGAAGAAGACAGAACAAGGTACACTGCATCAGCTACCCCAGAGTGCAGGTGGAACATCAAAAACCACAGCAACAGGGTTAAGGGAGCATGTGAAGAGACTGGCCACGAACTACTACAGAAGGGAATTTGCAGATTCTGGCAGTTTGCCAGAAGAACACACTTTGGGAAGTGTGTTCAAGTGAGAAAATCTGCAGTAGTTAGACCTGTGTGAATGTTTCTTGCAATGTCTCTTCCTGTACTGACTGCAACTGAGGCTCATTTTGCCTTAAGCTTCAGGCTTGTTCTGGTAAATCTACTCTGTAAATCAGTCTATTACTATTACGCTTATGAAAGTTTGCCTCATGATACTAAATCTGTAACTAGGACATTATAATTGAGTAGGTAAACAAGGCACAAAAAGGTTTCAAACTTCAAGGCTTTCTTCTAATTAAACCCAGTAATTCTCAACTGCAAATAGCCATACCAAAATGAACAAACGCCACTCCAGCTCTCAGCACATTTAGAATGGACAAAATCAACTTGTTCAGGTTCAAAATTTGACCTACCTTAAAAAAGTAAAAATCTGGTGGGGCATGTCCTCTAAATTCTAAATATCTAGTTAAAAAAACAAACAAATCCATTTTCTCATTGCCAAGCAATAAAGAAATATAAGACTGATTTGTGATCTTCTGCAGACAGGCCACCACTTTGCAATGCATGTATACTTGATCATAAATAATCAAAGCACATTAACACCAAACCCTATCACTTTGGAAAAGGATACGAATTTTATGTTCTGCAAATGTAAGATCACCACTGATGAGTGAAAAATCCTCCTAAGCTATGTTAAAATTAAATCACTCAAAAACAACTACAAAAGATTTGATCTAAGCCTGGTAAATTTAGGTAACATTAATAATGATAACTATTCAGAAAGATCAAAACAAACATCGGGATTTATACTAGCTGACTGATTTCCCAGTCTGAGGTAAGGAAGGCAAAACCAATTCAGCACATTCTACAGATGTAACAGTACATCTATATCAATTTAAGATTTAGAAGATACAATCTCACAATTAACAGCTATCTCAAGACGTACATTGCAGAGGGCATCATTAATTTATTACAAGTGCCCTAATATTGTACAGTAATTTCATCTAAAACAAGATGGCAATTTCGGAGGGTAAGTATGTTCACTTGTGCTGTACTTCCACACCCCCTCTCCATATGAAAACAGGAAACACAGACTACAATAGATTGTTTACTAGAGTATAAACAATGAGTAAGAGCAAACATTAAAGATTCTTAAGAGAAACTGAAATAAACCTTTCCTATGCAGAACACACTGTGGTTTTCAACACTTACAGATAAGAGCTGCTCACAGTACTATGCCATGTATGACAAAGCAGACATCAGAACTGAAAACATTTATCTGCCTAAAATTATGACCAAAAGGGAACACAACCAGCTAGCAAGCTGCAATATAAACTACTATTGCACAAGGAAGTAATCTGAATTTCTACTTTTACAAGCAAATTGAACTGAAGCTGACATTTTATTACATGAATGTATAGCTCTGGACACAAAAAAATGCTTATAACACATTTCAACTCTCATTTTGGCAAATCACTTCCCTCCTTAATTTCTCAGATTCAGCTGATGTAAATACGATGTTATACACTTATTCTTTCTGTTTACATAGTTACCACTGATGGCATTAGCCTCTTCAATGGCATCCTTCTGCACACCACACTTCTGAAGCTATTTAAGTATACAGAGTAGCATAAATCAAATAATTTGTGATGAAAAGAACTAGATATTGAAGGCTTGTATTCAGAATAAATAAACCATTAAAGTTGTAACAGCAAATGCAGTTCAGCTTTTCATTAAGATTGTCTTTACTGATTGCTGTCTAATGCTAGTCATCTGATAAAAAGCATATATACTACCACTAACCTTTATAGCCCATATGGACTGTTCCAAAGGATGAAAAAGTTTGAAACAAAAGCCATCTTTTTTAGAAGGCCTCTCAATGAGTTCACAAGCGTTCAGGAGCACTGTTCCCACCCACTGGCCATTTTTGGGGGTTTTGTAAACAAGCAACACTCCTGGTTTCAGTACACACCACAGTTTGGTCCAGCTTTTCAAGGTACCACGAATCTAGAAGATAAAGAGTTACAGTTATATCTCAGTGAAACCAACACCAAAACCATCCCTCTTCACTAAATGAAAATCTTAACTGAAATTATTTATTAGCTTTTATTTCAAACCAAGTATATCAGGCCTATTAAAAATTTATCCGGGTTTATCAAAGACAGTACAAAAGCACAATTTCAGTCCTCACTCTTCTTTCTTGATTAATAATTAGTCTGCAAATGGGTTTACACACATCCATGTATGGGAAGAATGACAATTCATCTGAAATCTTTATGAATTATTTTATCTGGAACATAATCTATCACTAGCATAAAGACAGGATAATCTTTGGAAACAGAGTTCCTCTGAAAATAAGGCAGATGTCCGATTAGAAAAATAAGATGTTCAGAAAATAACTCAGATATATTTGAATATGTTAAATAAAACATAACGGCTGTAAGTTTCAACCAATACTTGAAATACAAGATCCTTTCAAGTCCCTGAATTTGCATGTCTAATTAGATGGCTTGCATCAATTCTGCCAACTCCAGATTTCAATCAGTTCTATGTCTGTAAGCCTGAATGTCAACTTGACCTCTGAGCAATGTGCTAGCCTGTTTACACTGATTTTTGCAAAAACCAGAGAAACTTTTTGCAGACAAGCAACAATTTGGAGCTAACTATAAAAATGGGTAATAGAGCTTTTTTCCTACAGAATTTCCAAGGAATAAATTTACAAATTTAAGGAATTAAATACCGATATATAAACTGCACTACTGTTGCTGACACTGACTGCTACCTTCAAGAAATGAATTCTTCACCTTTTGTACCAGTACTACAGGACAGTTCTTAAGAGAAGAATTACCAGAAATAAAGAAGAAATGCGCATTCAAATATGTGACCGAAATATTTTCACTACTATTACAGAGGTAAATAGAGCTTCAAGTGTACAATAAAAGGACAACGTAAGAACAGTAAAACCAATTCATCTGAAGTAAACGGCTACACACACAAGATGCACGTTACTATTGTGACTTCAGTAAGTGGGAGGTAGGTTCTTTCATTATTCCCCTAGGATTTGAGCACAGAGACCCTGGGATGCAATTAGTGGCTGCTGTACTTGTAGCAAAACATTAACAGCAAGTAAAAGATTGAGCCTTTTCTATTCTGGTCAGAAAGCGGCAAGCAGCTGCTACATCTTCCACTCAGGTTTCACACTTCAATTCTGACCTTCAACCAATCAGCCATAACAATAACTGAGGGGTCTGTGATAGTGCTAAGTAATTCTTTTGTAGCTCTCTTCTTTTCTTCTCTGTAATTTTTCTTTTGAACCTGTAAATAATAAGAGAAAGATTTACAATGCCACAGCTGTAAGCCAGTAATCAGAGCACAGAAAAGCACTGATCAATACAAGCTGAGGAAAAACCTGCTAAATTGAATTGGCAATAGAGGTAAGCAGCTTTAAAACACAGTATTTGACTTCAAGGTGCAAACAACTATTGCATGCTCTGTTTCAAGAACAGTAAGATGTAACCAATTTCAGATTCTTCTGACATTTGCTTTTAATACTGAGGACTTTGAAACTCCTGATAGAATCACGGGGGGGGGGGGGGGGGGGGGGGGGGGGGGGGGGGAACTAAACAAGCAAACCAATCCTACCCCCCTTCCTTTCCTGGTGTAAAGTACAAAACCACATTTGGGCTACATTCAAACTTAGAGGTACATTATCTGATCAGCAGTCTTTACCTGCCCATTACTTTCCCTCCCCAGTAGAAATTTGCAGCACTATACCTCACTCTTTTAGAGACAACTAATTTTAAGTTTCCCCTGACTTGGTATCCGCCGAACAATGGTGTTTGGTCTTGTTACAACACAGGGGGAAGAAGGCAGTAGAAAAACCATAGGTTCTGCATGCAAATTGTAACTTCGATAATTCAATTTGTTATTTCATTGCATGTAGATGTGCATTTATAGTCCATGAGGAGTTGCTTGGAAATTCGTTCACCTTGAGAGATTCCTTTTTTGTAAGTTTGCTTGCAGATAAAGAGATGTCCTTCTCGGAGCCATTGAAAAGCTTGGATTCAGACTGAAATTCACAAAATGCATAGTAAATAAATAACAGATACAAGGTTGTATTACTGTTGCAGGTACTTTAGAAAGTATTTGCAGTGCACAGTTAGATTTGTAAGGTTCCCACTCCCATTTGCTCCTCTACTGCTTCTCCTACTTAAAAAAAAAACAACAAACCCAAAACCCAACAAGCCACAACTCATAACACGAGCTGTTCACCACCTATTTATGTAGTCTTTTTTGTCATATGGGCTTTATGGGAAGGAAGTCTGAGATTCCTCCAGAAGAAGTCAAAATATATGCAGTAAATATTTAGCACTTGTAGCCTGTTACTCATTATGTCACAGTCTTGACTAGTTAAGAACTTCTTTAGCAGAGAGATAAGGTTTTAGGAGAATCCCGGTGTTTAAACACAGGAGTTGCTCCCATGCCATACAAATCCCAATGTCTTCATTCAAAACTTGACAACTCCTCCAAACGGATTGCTATACAGGAACTTACCCTGTGAGCCATGAAGGAAAATACAGCCTCTTCAATCTAGGATTCGGTGCTCTATAAATCATCAGAGTAAAACTGACCACTAACAGCACTCATTCTGCTCCTTCCTCCCTAATCCCATGTTCCAATTACTTCACAAGCCACCTTCAAGAAGCTCGCAGTGGTGATAAGACAGGGGAATGAGATTCAGGTTTGTTCATGAAACCCAAGTCCTCATTACCCTTGTTCACAGGAGGACAATATGCTGCCTCAGCACCACATGATTGCTCCTTCCTGCCTCTACCCGAATCTTGTAAGGTTCAAAGTTTGTTCCTTGGCATCTGCTGCCTACTAGTTGAAAGGGAACTAGAACCCCCAAATATTCACTATGGGATACAGAGCTCATAAAAACTAAAAAAAGAGGAGCCTATGACAGAGTTATCACATCATTCCTACTGCAAGTCAGAGGACACCAAGTAGGTATCCACTGTATATGTACTTTAGCTAAATTAAGAGTTACATTTCTTTGTGCACTGATAAGCCTGATAGACCCCAAGTTCCTGCCTAGTCAAAAATAAAGAAAGAAGAAAAATCAGGGTAACCTTCTGAACTGTGAAAACTCAAGCAGTTTATGAAAACTAACTCTCAAGCTGTTCAACATTTCTGACTAGTAATTTCAAATCTCAGACCACAATGCAAAGTCTAGACATCAAATTTATGGTTTGGAATACTATAAAATGACAGTCAAAAATACGCAAGTTTTGAGAAAACTTACTACAATAAATATTAACAGTGTACTGAGCACTCTTCTTAATACACAAGTTGCTCAATCTAGTTACTTAGATAACTAGTGTCAAAAAGATGTTCAATAACTGGCAAAAAATTTTATCTCAAAATTATTTCCGTGATAAGGAAATGTTCTCTAACTTCCATATACATCTTGGAAAAATGAAGGACACCTCTTCATTTTGTATTAAAGACATATTCTTAACACTCAAAATGTAGCTTTAAGACAAGCATACAACTTGAAATTTAATTCCTCTCTCTAGAAGTTAAAGGAAATACAGTACTTTAAATGTAATAACAGAAGAGGGAAAAAATGCTTATCACTGTCACATAAGAAGAGGTAATGAACTCGTTATGCAAGCTATAATGGAGCAACTTAAGGAAAACATTCATAAATATTCAAGTTGCTCACTAACAGAAAGCTAATGCAATCTAAAGGTCACGCATATAAAAGCCCCAAACCAGTATCACAGGTTACAGAAGCCATTTCCTCAGTATCTCAGTTTTAAAGCTCACTAATGGCACTGAGTAAAAGTCCTTATTTACCTGTTCAATGGATTACGAGCAAAATTAGTGATTCATGTATTTTTAAGCTAAAAACTTCCTCAGACTTACACTCACACAAAGTGGGTGGGATCAAAACTTAAAAGAAGAAAACATTTTAAAGAACCTACTGAAGCTCTCAGCAAGGTACATTCAGTACCAGATTCTGGGCATGTCGCACGCTTGCTTTTCCATCCTTACTTAGAAAGAAAGGCTACTGCTTCACCTCCTCAGCTCTGACGGACAGTTGCCATCTTCTGTTAGCCTGAAGTTTATTTGTGGGTTATAAAAGAAATACCACTCTTATCAAGCCCCATATGCAGTAATTGCAAAAATAACGGATAAAGAAAAATATGTATTATAAGTAGTAGGAATATTGGTCTTATCTTTGATAGCAGAAAGACACAAACAAAAGTAACGGTAAAACACACAGAGATCCTGGAAAGACAAGACCCAAACAAAATAAACACATGAAAGAGAAAAACCAAACTGTATAGTCAAAGATAAATGATTAATAGAGTCTGAAATAAATCCAAGTTAAAAGAAACAGTATTAACTTGAGTTGTAAATCAAAAATGATTTAGAGGTTTCTGGACCAACATAAATGTTTTGATTAAGAGACTTAAATGTTTTGAATTAGAAAGCATGACTTAGACCAGACGTCCCAGCACCCTGTCCAGCTGGATCCTGAAAGTATCCAATGTCGGGGAATCCACCACTTCCCTGGGGACATTATTCCAACAGCTAGTTGTTCTCATTGTGAAAAATTGGAATTTCCCTAGGAGTAACTTGCCATCACCCTTCCTCTTTCCCATGTGACTCCATGTAAGAAAAGAGTCTCCATCTTCTTTGTAGCCATCCTTTAAACATTGGAAAAATACTGCTTCCTTGACCTCCCTGACAAGTGAGGGTCTAAGCTGCAGTAAAGCTGAAAATGCAAAGCTCTGTGATTCCAATTCATGTGTAAGGTACCAACAGCTTGAAATGCTTAGCTACACACCACTAAATTGCAGCATAAGCTGCAGAAACTAACCTGCTCACCCCAGTGCAATTTTGATAACACCATTTAGTCAGAGAAATGCTACTGTAATCCTTAAATAGCTTTGATTTCCTTTAGTATCTTTCTAACATTTCTCTTTAATGCTGACACATGAAATATCAGACAACTTCGTGTCAAGACCTTTAAGTGCAACCCCTCTGTCTCCCAGGGCTACAGCTGCCTGTGCCCAGATCCAGCCCTGACAGACTGCAGTGCTAACCTTGCAGCAGAGCACTATGGAAAGAGCTGTGCATGGAAGCAGCGAGAAGCAGTCCCCTTACCCTTGGGTGCTAGCTGCAGTCAAGCTCAGGTCCTTGGCCTTGCCCTGCCGAGCAGTCCCTGCCTGCTGTTTAAGTGTCTGTTACCCCACTTGCCTCTGTGAAAACCAGTGGACATCCTAGCAGAAAATAGCAGACCACACAGCTGGGTAATTTAAAGCCTTGAAACTCTATCCTGCAGTGATGCCTAAATAAGAAAAACAAGTGAATTTAGCTATTCCATTCAGAAATCAAACCATACACAACCTCCCCCTTTTGAAAAATGCAGTCTTTCCCTCATCACTTTAATCTTTGATGTCTTAAAGAGACACCCGTTTTCAACTGGGGCACCCAACTGAAAATACTGTTTTTTCTAGAATTCCACATTCTGAGTATGTAAAAATCACTAGATAAAACTTCAGTGCATTAACATGCCAGGCACTTTTGCTGACCAGAATGTTCATGCAATAGGCCAACAAATAAGGTTGTATCAGAGTGGCCTACAAAATGGCCTAAAACTGACAGCTTCTATAATTGTAAGTTACAAATTTATATGGATTTGGGAAAGGAAAAGATAGCTATGGTAGATTTTTCTCTACGCTACTACAGTGACTTGTTACAGAACTCTCTCATCATGTGCCTACTTTAATCTGAATAAGAATGCTATTGCAAACTACTCGAGTAAATAACTGTAATGAGAACAAAACAGCTCTGGAGAGAAAAGACTTCTACATAAAAAGAGACTTTTTGGTTGCTTGGGTAGCACATGTTTTCTTCCTTTTTAAAGTTTAGTCATTCCAGGATACTATGGTTTTCGTGACTGCGGTGTCCATGTCCCAACTCCACCTTGGATGTTCTCAGTTTTCACTCCATCTCAGTGAGCCTTTTCCAATCTGGGACTACACAATGAGGATTATGAATTTGCTTGACTCCTGCCTTTTCCATTTCTATCATCAAGACTACTAGGAAAGATAAACATGCATAGCAATTATACCTACTTTAATATTCTACTGAGCCAGCTTTCTGTTGCACGCTCATTGCCTCAATGAAATGGGCCTTTGTAATTAAATTCTGAGGTACAGAAGCCATTGCAGCAGACAGGACAACAAATTACACTTAATTATGTTTTACTCTGGCAATTTAAGCCATTAAAAGAAACCTTTTCCAATTACAGTTTCCCTACCATTCCTATGAGAAGATTTTCTACAGCTCAGTGAACAGTATCTTCACCTACAGCTTAAAAGGATTCTAAATTACGTTGCATACCAAGAGTTGGCTTCCAACCATCATTACACTTGGCAAGGCAACACCCCGCCTCCCAAGACAACAGTGAAGACTCCAAATTTCATTTTCACTAATTTGAACTGCAGATTTTAATGTGATGTCATCCTGACAACTGTATTAAGAAATTCCCTTTAATCTTTATCTATTACTGAATCTGAAGAGTAATCTTCAAGATTATCTACAATAAAAGTTTGATAATTTGTGTTTAAACTCCTTTATACACTGTCATTTTTAAGCCAGATTACTTTCCTTACCTTGCTTTTTGACATAGAATGTGATGTATCCTCTTTACTTTGTGACACATCATCCTTCCCTTTGTCAAAACCTGAAAAGACAGTAGTGTTGCAAATTATTTGAAGACATCAACTTGAAGGGATCAGCATGAGCTAACCTTTGAAATAAATTTGCAAATTGTGTTTAGCATTAAAAAGTGCAAGCAGATTGGATTTTCCAACAAAGTATATGTACCAGGCCCTCACATCAGTTGAAAACATATCAGCTACTATAATATAAATTAATTTTATACCTACCAAGAGGTAAGAACAGTCCACTGTATTTGGGTGGCACGGCACACCATCCAATAACGTGATGAACTGTAAATACAGTGTGCAAACTTTTGTCCTTTTATCTTCTCTTATAGCAGAATACCAAACTGAGCCTTTTTTTGGTTCGTTCATTTCTGTAGCTAGCAGTAATTGTTAAGTACCATGAAAGCAAATCTAAAACATTGATTAGGACTGCGAGTCAGTTTTTTTGCAAGAAAATAGGGAAAAGGTTGATTGCATTAGCCTTGAATTTATACCTTCAGCTTGATACTGCATAAATACGTCAAGACTTTATATTAGAACAGTTGCTGAAATCCCATTTATGCTCTGCCAGTGACTCATGGTATAGACCCCACATTTTCCCAGTAGCCAAAAAGCAAGTTAGACGATGGCTGTATCCAGTATATGCTTAACAATGGAAAAGGGGGTCACCCTTTTCATACACGCTACGTAACATATACTGAGAACCTAGCATCCTTTTAAGGAGGATACATCTCAGTGATCCATTTACTTTGAAGCAGTTGGTGGTAGCATAAAGCTTTTGACAACAGGAATAAACCAAACTGTGCAGCACATTTATCTGGATATGTAAAAATGCCATCACTTCCACGCCCTCCAGATGCAAGGCTGATAAATATGAAGTCGCACATTAATTTCAGGAATAACCCATGCAGCTGCAAAGCCCTGCATGGCTCTAGCAGTGGCACCCTAGACCTTTAGCCCACGAGAGGGCACTGCACCAGCAGACAAATTGCATAAACGGACACCTAAAGCTCTTCTGAACTTCCCTTGAAGATGCTCCGAACTTTGAAATAGAAATTGGTTACTCAGATCTCTAAAATAAGATTTATCAGAGAAACGGTTCGATTTTACATTTTTAGGGGACCTTGTCTACGTGTGGGGAAACCATGAGCTTTAAGAGAATTTTTATTAACTCTGTAGCAGTGTTGAGTAGCTTGTTCAGTGCAGGATTTGCTTTTTACACATTAGCATTTTCACCTTTCCACAACTTATAATATCCAGAAACTGCAACAAAGATCAGATCCATCTATCACAAATACATGCGCTGGGAAGTGTCACTGAGTTAAAGAGACATTACGTTGGTCTTCAGGTTACATGAGAAATCATATTCCTCTTAGTTTTAGTCTGTTCATCAGCCTTTTGTAGTTTGTTTTTTTGTTTGTTTTGTTGTTTTGTTTTTTTTATTTATTACCACTTGCAGAAATTCTTTTGTAAGATCAGTTTTATTTTGAATTATATTCTGCAGTACAATGATATTCCATTTTATGTTTACACAAGCTAAACTCTACATGCCTTTAAATAAGCCTTTACATGTCCTTTATGGAAGCCCCTCTGCGCACAGATCATTAACCTCTTACTATTGAAACTCTTACAACACATCCGTGGTAAGTTTGTTCAGCTAATGAATCTATAATGCAGAAGACTACTTGACCACAGGGAAGAAGTACCTAGACAGGCATTAGATTTGTAGTACTAGGGAATCCAGAAAAATCCCAAAGGCATGTTGTGATCCGGAGACCAGAAGCCACATTTCCTATTTAATACCAAAACCAAAAGCACATTTTCTATAGCACTGGTCATTAGGTGCTATAACACCTCCATCCTTAGAGGACAGACCTGCCTTAGTTAATTGAGAAGTTACTAGATTCAATACCAGTCTTAGGCAGTCACACACCAAAACCATAGTAATGAGGTTCTGTCCTTACCCCCATACCCAAAAAAAATCCCTCATTAGGAACCAGGTTCCACTGAAAAATGTAATGCAAGCGTTTTTTAAACAGCTTTCTCACTTTTACTTATTTATTTATAGGCACATACAGAAGACTTAGTGATGGGAATCAACGAGGAAGTGCTAAGTCAGGATTGTTCTTACAGAAGATAAGCTATAATTCACAGCTTGCTTTCTAAAGCACAACAGTTTTATGGGCTTTACATATCCTTACTTAACAAACATATGCTTTTATTTTCATAAACAAGCTTTTCACTGGTATCACCAAGCAGAAATGAAAACAGAACTACTCTGTCCCAGAGAATCAGACACAAAGACCAGAGTTCAGTTGTGTTTCCATGAATTTAACCTCCCTGCTTCCAGTGTCCTGAACCTGATGCATGCATGCCGATTCATAAACATGCTGCCACACTCACTGTTCCCTTCCTTATTCACACACAGACCAATGGGCTCCCTGAGGGGTTTGCTAGAGAGCCCAAGGCAGGGTGCTGCAGATCCTGGAACATCTTGCACTGCTCTGTCTCGGTCCATGAGGAAACCCAACCAGTCATTCTCGCATCCCACACCGTCCTACTTGTATACCCCCTCTCTGTAGAAGTCATAATAAGCTCACTCAGAACACTGACAGGCTTTTTTCCCCTATGTGCTAAAATGTATAAAACATATGGCTTTCAACTGAAAGAGGATAGATTTAGATTAGACACTAAGAAGTTCTTTACTGTGAGAGATGTGAGGCACTGGCACAGGTTGCACAGAGAAACTGTGGCTGCCCCATCCTGTGTTCAAGGCCAGGCTGGATGGGGCTTGTGGAAAATGGAAGGTATAGGGGAGGTGGAATTATATGATCTTTAAGGTCTTTTGCAACACAATTAGTTCTAGGATTTTATGTAAAACACCATAATTCAGGTGCAGATCCTGACACAGCCTCACCCACTGTAAGGACACTTTCTCCAGGGAGCCTCTGTTAAGTTGGAGAGACCTCAGTACTATAAGAACTCTTACTTCTAACAAGAACAGTTTCATACCAATACCTACAGGGAAATAGGTACTGAAACATCACAAAAAGCCCATGGGCCCAAGCTGAGAATGATACACACTTTGCCATGGAAATACTTGGTCAAAGAAACAACATAACAATTATATTCAGAGAATCAACAATAAGAAATACTGTTTTCTCCCTTCCTGCTACCAGTTATGAAGAGCAAATCACTTAATGGATTTCTGACAAAGGCAACCGCAAAGCCAAGAAAGCTGAGCCTCTAAATGATGCTCTTTGTTATTGCTCTTTTTGTAAATTTGTTCATCCCAGGGGGACTGAAAATTACACCACAAGAAGTCACTGAATCAGTGTCTGGAGCAGAGACTGCCAAGGTGTAAGAGGCTAGAGGCAACATCTAATGAAAATGAATATTTCAAGTTTTTCCAGTGTCTTTCAGCAGTGGTTTTGGGCTTAATATTTTAGCTTACTTGCTGTTTCCCATCCTGTAATTCAATCTTTAACCTCTTTAACAAGATAACCTGAGCTCACATTTCGCACTGTAGAAATTCAGGTGTTGAAGACGTGGTCCTTTTCTGTAACTTGTATTAAATCTCTTGAACCCATGTATCATTTTCTACCTAAAGCAATCTTCAAAGTTAGGAGAGGGCAAGCAAGTGATGGCTGAATCAACCTTCAGAGCTGCAGACTGAGCTCCTACTATTATTTAAGACATCTGCAGAAAAATATTTGAAAAATAATACTTTCATTTTAAATGCAATCTCCACTTAAATGCTGTAGCCTCTAAAGCAGTTCTGGACATCAGGGACTGTGTTCAAAGCAGCACTATGTCTTGGCAGACTTTCTCCCACTGTGACCTTCTCTTGTCTTTAACATCACAGGCCCCGGGGCCTCTGAAAGCTGATCCCAACCCCAGAGCAGTCAGCCACAGTTCACGGTGTGACCTTAGAAGCGAAGGGGAACTGTCCTGAGTACACGTTCCTACTGTAAGCACTCAGCAAGTCCTTCCCAAACTGGCAGGTAGAAATCTACGTAAGAACTCATGATGAGCTTTCAGATAGTTGCAAGTGCTCTATAACTGCACACACCTAGAACAACCAGAACTCTATACACTCAAGATGTCCATGAAACAAAAATCAAACAGTGCTTCTTTAGAGACTGAGCTGGAATACACAGTCAATACCAAAGGAAAGAAATCCTCCAAAATGTCATTTTTGACAACATTTGACAAAACGCTGTAAGATCAGTGTTAAGGAATCTTTAGGATAAATCTGTGGTAGGGTACATTTTAAAACAAGACTGTTACGAGATTTCAATTTTGAAGTGTAACACAGGTATCATACCTTAGTCACACCTAAAATCTGTCCCTTTAATCAATTCTGACTAAAGGGAAAAACCTCAAACCAACCACATAACTCTGCCTACATCTCAAATGCTGATTCTGTACCTCTCAAATACCACCTGCAATTGGGATAGCTGAGAAAAAAGACATCAGAAAAACACGTTACTTTTAACATAAGATCTCTTTTACCTAAAAGGAAAGAACTGCTAGCCACTGGTGGCTTTTTTCCAACAAACAGAAGCAGCAGTAAAAAGGTAATGCAATGCATGAGAAGACCACAAGCAGCAAGCCAAGCAATAATTGTGACTGCCATTGAAGAGCAAGGCACATCCCAGTTTGATTATTGATGTGCTGCATGAGCAGTTGTGAAGAACTAATAATTGAGCTGAAAAGCTGTATGCTTCTGGAGGAACTACGAGTTATACTTAGTGGGAGATACTAGTACTGGTGTCATATAGTAAACATAACAGGGAGAGAGAAAGGAAAAATCTTTATAAAGAATTGAAGGCAGGAGACAACAGTCTGTTTAACTGACCAAATTTCAAAAGCTTGCTAAGCACCAGTTTTAAGAATACAATCCCATATGAAATAATCCAGATTCCTCCCTGGATTTTGAAACTGGAGTAATCAGAAAAGTCCTTTTATATATTTTTCTCACAGTATTTTGCAAACACCATCTAAAATAAACAATATTAGCCAAAGCTTGTCCTCCCTTTAAGTATACATGACTATTTTTTAGATGGGCAGTAACTACTCTTTGCTTAAACAAAACTGAAAGAGTATATCTTCCAGCACATTAAGGTTGTTTAAATTCTTCAGATATATGGAAGATCCCAAAAGATAAACTTTTTTACTTATATTTTAAATCTTGGGTTTTTTTTTATGTATTAAAAACTATTTTCCTTTTGTTCTGCCTTTTAAGAAGTCACTCACTGTCCACTTACGGAAAGTAGTCAGCCATTCTGTACAGGAAGGAAGCAAATAGGAAACAAATCCCTTTTTGTCTCAGTAATTACCAGACTACATGCATTTACTTTAAAGGTAGGAAGCATCTGTCCAGTTGCCAACACCACACTTTCAAGCTTTGAGATCTTTATTTCCTGAACAGCTTGAATAAAGCTCAAGTGCTAAGATTCTTGGTAGAAGGCTAATAATTTCCAGCAGCAGAGTGAAAAGAAATATTACAGGGTAAAACATCAAGCTGAATAGAACACGGTGTCCCAACAACTGCCCTCACCTGCCTGAGCCTGAACATGCTGCTCCAGTGATTCTGCAAGCCAATGATGCTGAGAGCTCCCTCATTGCCAGCCGGCAACCTCCCCTATGCACCCTACAACTTTTTTCCATAGCTACAGAGCCAGGGCTTACAAATTCAGTGAGCCACTTTGCAGAAGGCATATAATAAAAAGAACTATTTTATCACAGCCCACCACCCCTGCCCCCTAACCAGCAACCTGTCCCCATAGGACTATTCCACAAAGTGCGTCTGTGCGCATGCACGAGACAAGTCAAGCCACACACAGAGTAATTCTGGTAAGAATGTACTATTGCTACAATGTCCCCTTTTCAGGAAGGGGTGACCTTGTAACACGTTTTCGAGCATCAAATTTGTTAGGAGTAAACTGCTGAAATTCAGCACCTATATCAAAAGTGCACATCATGGACAATGAAACTCCAGAAATCCATTTCAATATTCCAGCACTCATTTTCAGCAAACAAATCTGAGCAAAAAGAGATTTAAGCCCTTTCTGGCGTTAAATGTCTTAAAAATCTTGCACTGCAGTGTTTAGCAAGGCTACGTTTTTAGCCCTAAAATAACCCTTGTTATTTTTTTCAAAGCACTGACGACAAGCATATAGATTCTTCAGTACTTACAGCTAAATTAAAACCTTCTGCTGTACCTTACTATTTTAAAGCATGTCCATTGCATGTGGGAGGAGTGTTAAGTACAAGAGAGGAAGGCATTTATAAACCACATCATAGAACTCCAGTCATAAAAGCCCAAACCACCAAGACAAATATTCCAGGCAGTACCGAATACACAAATGGCTTTTAATGCGGTGTAAAAGCTGACCAGCTCACTTGCCTATCTGCAAATCTGGCCACTACAAAGTGCTGTTATCTAAGTGCATACAAGCAATAACTCTCTCTGATTTCTATCAACATCTCAGTGCATTACTTTCATTCAAGCTGAAAAGTCCAAGGCAGAAATTATATTCTCTTCTGTACATTTTAAGAAATGCAAGATCGAAACAAACCTGGTAAAGCAGGAGAGAGTTCGTTATATCCTCCAAATGAAGCATTCCGGACAAGCTTTCGGCCATCAGCTCTTGCAGAAAACACAGATGAAATCCCAGCACATGAAGAAAACCTACGTCGCACTGGACCCTCTTCCTTCATGAGTTAAGGTGTTTGTGTAAGGATTATGTTCTCTGTGAAAGCTGTTTAGCATTAGCTGCTTGGAACAAGAGTGTTGCAGTAACAGCCTTTTACCTCACATTCTGATGAGTAAGACACAAAAGGAAAAAAAAAAAGCAAACGAAGGGCACATGTGAAAAATGCAGTGAAGAGACAGAGGCTGCCAAATCAGCAGCAAGCCAAGCAACACTATCCTCCTCTCATCAAACCCATTAGGATGCTTAAAGCAGAACGGCTTTGCTTCAGCTCCTATTTCCCACAAACACATCTCAGGTTTGGCCCTACTCATACATTCTAAGCAAACAAAAATGGTGAATATTTAGATTTTAAGGACCCCTTAAATTAAGCCTTTCTCCTGTTGGTCTTTCAAGCCCCAGATTTATTTTGCACAAAGCGAAACTCATGAGCTATGTGGCTTCCCTATTTGATACTGTGGCACACTACAGTAATCTGAAAAGGGATCCGATGCTTTGCATCATGCAGCCATATTGAGCTGCTGTTCAGGCTCTTACCTAGCTAGTTTTTATCAATTGACTGCCATGGCTTCTACATCTTCATTTCTTACTTTTTTTAAAAGGTGAGGAAATAGCTTTTTCTCCTCTTAGCCTCTGCCATATCTATATATATATATATGAGCCAACCTGACTTCTGGAAGAGTTTGTTATTTATGCCCCAAAGATTTTAGGCAATGAATAAAACACTTAAATGAACCAGCTTAAATTTTAACCATAAAAAAAAAATCTCAGTGAACTCTGTTTCAAGACCAGAACTTAGCTGACCCAAACTGTTCTTGCTGATAGCTATCAGAATAAAATCTAATAAGCTCTCCGTAACCTTCATCCACTGTTCATTAGTTTGGCTGCCTCTTTTTGCCCTGAAAACTAGTGTGCATGGCCACACTCCTCTGTATGTGGAACATCCGTCCCATCTGGTGCTTCTCTGCCAATCTCATTCCCTCCCCCCATCTTATTTCTGAAAAAAACAGGTTTTGAAACCTACTGTGTTTGTTGGAAAACAGAAAAATGAGGCACCAAGAATTGGCCTGAAAGTAAGAACTTGGGCTCTTCTTTACTCCATACTTGAGGTCTCCTCCTCTTACAAAGTGAAACATGCCCCACAATTACATCCATAATAGTGTGAATTTGATTAAACCTCAAATAATGCTGTCTCCAGCTGCTTATGCAAAGAAGTGTACTCGCTATTTGCAGCTCAGTAATCTCAGTTCACACTGGCTCAAGGATAATACCGCAGACCAAAGTATTTTATAACAACAGGTTTTACTATGCAGAGTGTATGTGCATTAGCACATGCACATAGAAACATACACTAAGAAATACTGAAAACACTGAAAATTCTTTTTTCTGATCATGAAACGTAGTAGCCTCCAGGATCCTATGAATCACTAGAATTTCTTCACGCTTCTTAAACAGCCTAATGTCCCAGTACATGCCAAGGAAAAAGGATGTAACCAAAAAAAAAACCAGAATGAGAGCCATCAATAGAAACCATTACATATGCTATGTAATTTCCACTTCTTCTGTACAAGAAGTGAAAAACTCTATTCACTTCAGCACAGGGAGGGGGAGAAACTAGATAAGCATGTCATATATTCAAGCTTGCCTCCATTTATCCATTACTGTGGCTCATACTTCCCTCAGCTGAAGCTGTCCTTTTCCAGATGTCCCAGAAGGAACAGAAAGAGAGGCTGAAAAACTTAAGGAGTAGAATGGTGTGGTAACTGAAGAAGAAATGCAAGGGAGAATCCACCTTTTTCTCCTTAAAAAAAAAAACAAAAAACAAACAAAACCAAACCAAAACCACACAGCTCTGTATCATTCCTGCAAATCTATCTTCTTAGCTACAACCTTGGTCCAAGTCTCTTCAGAATACGCATTTTCCTTTCCCTAATTAAAATCAAGAGAAAGCTGCAGGAGAAAACCTCCCCTTACATACAGAAGGAACTGTATCCTCTCATTACAGACCTATCTTGCCCAGCTAATGGCTCTGTTATCTCAACTCTGAGTCAGGGCTATGACCCTGCCCAGGACCGCTCTGCTGACACTGGTATCGGGATGTTTCTATGTCTTGCACTGGAACAGCAGGGTCACACAGACTCAGGGGAAGCTGCACCATCAGCCAACCGAACCACTCTGTTTGCATCTGCATCCAGTGGCCGTGCCAGCCATCTCTGTATACACTACAGCCTACCACATTCCTCCACAGCACAGTCTGCTCTGCCACTTTGTTCTCACAGAATCATAGGATCAGCTGGGTTGCAAAAGACTTTTAAGGTCATCAAGTCCAACCATTACATCAGGGCTGCCAAGACCACCAACTCATGTCACTAAGGGCCTCGTCTCATGTTCGAGGAAGCAACATCATCCTGAAAGTTTCCCCTTATTTCTCTCCATGCCTTTCCAGGTCCCTTGACACTGTTCATGTAACCCGTAAATAAGAACAATTAAAAACCTCTGTCTCTTTCCTATGCTCTTGTTCTTTCCTATGCTCTTGTCACCATTTAGAAGTGAAACTGAAGTCTTTGGGTAGATAACATTAAGAATTTCAATATGGATAATGCTACATTTCCCCCCTCTGAAGTCATCTCCCAACCAAGGAAGCCATTATCTGAGTATTCTACTTAATTACCTCTGCTTTAACTCAACAGCAAAAAGAGAGGCAGAGTCTGTGCCTTTTGCCAAAATATGACTCTGTCTCATCACTACCACAGAGGGGAAAAGAACAAAACCATCTAATTTAAGCTTCCTTCTTCATCTCTCTCACCCCTCCCCCCCAAGACATCTTCACATTTCACTTAGATCTGCAGTGGTAAAAAAAAAATAAAAAATAAAAATCACATGGTTTGGCTGCAAAAAGTCACTAGATCCCCATCTTTTCAGCAGCTTATGGTTCATTATGCCTGCTAATACCTGTATACACATACTCATTTGCTTCAACTGCTTCAAAGCAGTATATGTTTCTGGAGAGAGCCGACACACAACCAAAAGGCTGTTAGATGGAAAGGAGTTTGTAACGTTTAATAAAAATTAGAACTTTTCTCAATGGTGTAATTCTAAGCTAAAGTTTATTTTAACTCTTGAGCATCAGCCTGAGATAATACTAAAGGCGTTTCTGCTCTCCACACACTCAGTGCCCAAAGCTCCTAGAAACCGTAATTCCTGGCTCCAAATTTGATTCCTGAAAGGACACAGAGGTACTTCTAAGTAGCTGGAAGTGCTTTCATTTGCATGTTCAGTACGCTGTAATGGAAAGGTGCACTTCAGTAGCCATCCTTTTTCCCCTTCTCCTCTTTCTGCAATTAAACTCAGACAGAAATGGTCAAACTATTGATAAATTTGGAATGAGTAGCATTCATAAGGCGATCTTAGACTAATGTCCAGGAAGCCTTCTATCCTTTTGATATCAGTTCCAGTGCCCTACTAATTGATATATTTAGAAAATGCACTAACATACACAGCTTGGAACTTTATGCAGGTTCAAAATAGTCACAAATAGAACTACAGCCAAGTCCAACTGCACAAGCAAGACATAGCCAAAAAGCCTGCATAAAGAGGAAAGTATCTGCATTCTAGCCTAAATGCATCAGCTGCATGCCACAGTGCTTGAAAAAAAGACATCTGTACATGAAACAAAGATGCCCCATAACAAAAGTTCAGTACTTCATGAAAGCTGGCACTAGACTAAATATGTCACTGTCAGGGAGAAAAAGTCTCATGGTTTCTTTGTATTATGTAACACCTAAATCAGGAGGAAGATGGAAAAATCATGATGGAAATATTTAGTTCATCTATCTTCGGGAGGGGAGAACCCATGCTCAGTCAACCTGCTGAACACCTCTAAGAGGAATTTTTTTCCCCAAGAGGAAGAAAACTCATCTGTAGTATACATTTTCTAAAGGACAGAATGCATTTCTCCTTTCAGCTACTCATTTGGGGCTTCTTCAGCTGGCTGAAAAACAAATCACAATTCCATGCTTAAGACATTCTTCCAGGATACTGCCTGGGGCAAACCCTGAATCTTAGTATGTAAAGGCAAAGAGAAGGCACATGCAATTCCAACAGCACATGAACACTTTTGACAAAGCCTGATTTTAGTTATAAAACATTTCTCAGATTGAAAAATATTTACAGCTGAAAAAAAATAGTATTATCAAAAAAGACCTCTCCAAATTGTACAGGTATGAATTCCAAGCACGGCAACTGAAATCAAATCAATATATTCAGAACTATTCAACTGATGAATTTTAAATATAATAAGACCGATGCAATAATAGAACTAAAAGGATATCTAATGTTACAAAGCAAAAAATACTCCTTTTCTTATTAGAGGTATATAAGGAAAGCCCAAAATCTTCTTAAAAAAAAAAATTCTGTGAAAGCTAAAGGGAGATTAAAGTGGAAGAAAAACCGATGGTGTAGCAGAGAAGACAAAGCCTTTTTAGCCTTGCCCTTCAAGTCTGACAATAATTTGCCCTGACATTTTGACAACACTACCTTTTCCAGCAGAATTCTCCCCCCAGTCCAACAAAAGAAAAGGTCATAAATAATTATCTGCATGCAACAGAAACACTCTCTTCACAGCATGCATAAAATAGATAAAGGAAACTGCTAGATTATCATACCTATAAATGAGTTTTATCCAACAACTGACTTGTTTGCACATGGACTTGAAGTGCTTTTCTCCTATTTCATGAAATAAGTATTAAAGATATACTTGCCTTCAGACACCAATATCTGATTCAAAAAAAAAGACGTGCAAGTAGTTTACAGTGGCAAGTTTCTTTCATCAAATATACTGCTGTTCTCTGATATTTCCAAGTCAAATGCAGTTTAGCTGAGGAGTAATTCCAGAGGCACGCCTGAGAGTGGTTATGAATGAACACCAAAGCTCCCAGTGCCTTGTTGGCAGCTGTACTTGGCTGAACCTCCTCACTTGTTAACACTCCTGCTCAGCTCCTCCCACCCTAATCAAATAGGTTTGCTCACTGCTCAGGTTTCAACAGTTTTCATCTCAGCCATTATGAAATTCCCAAGGTCACAGTTCAAGCAGGCCAGCTCTGCAGATA